CTATGGAGGTCATGGCTGTGACTAAAGCAGTAACATGGCTAGAGACACAGACTTTCACTGGATCATGTTTTCTCAGTGACTCGATGAGTATGTTCAGGAGGATTGAAAAGGGCTGGGTCTGAAGGCAGTGGTTGGTGGCTCTACAGAATTCACGACTGACAAGGATTAGTTACATTTTTGTGCCAGGATATGTGGGGGTACCAGGAAATGAGCAAGCTGATAGTCTTGCAGGTAAAGCTACTGTGAAAGCCGGACAAGCCATGGACCAGGCTGATATACTGAATGCTCTAAGAGAGTTGAGACATTTGTGTGATCCAACTGAGAACCGTGAATCTGCAACCATGGTCAGACTGCAAGAACAGCAAGTTAAACGGGGTGTCACCAAACAAGAACACTATGCGCGTAGCCAAAAAAAAATAATAAACCAACGCAGGACTGGTGTCGTTACTCGCTACAAGCTGCGGGATTTACTGAGGAGGGGATCCGAGCACTTAGGGACTGAGTGGTTCGACGTGCATTGAGGATAATCTGTTGACTAACTAACATACCCTTGTACCCAGCTTAGCCCTGGGATGACTTGGAAGCAATAAGTCTTTTAGCATAGAGAAGGTTATTTACTTAGTTTTCTTAAATAGAATAAAGAAAACAGGATACTACAACCACAAACCTTTCTGAACAGGAAAGAATTTCTCCCTGAGGTTGGAGTGCCAGTTCAAACTCTATCCAGTCGGATAATGTATACTGTGGAATGGATAAATAGATGTATTCCACATATGAAAACAACCATTCCTGTTTCATAATGTCACAGCTCTATTGCATCATCTACCACTGAATTAAATGTGTTTTTTTTTTCTTCTTCTTCTTCTTGTCCTCCTCCTCCCTTTTCTTTTTCTTTGGCATTTCATCACCCAGTGAAGCATAGACTCTCAACCTCCTCACTCCCTATCTTTCTATCCTTCTCTATTGCACTCAGCCCACCTTATGTCCTCCCCATCTTTTTAACTTCACTCTTCAGTTTCCTTTAAATGTGCTTTTTTTGGTCTGCCTTTATTTCTGTGCCCCTGTATGTTCCACTGCAAAGACATTCTAGTTATACTGCTCTCACGTGATCTCAACGGGTGTCCTATCCAATGCCAGCGTCTTTTCTTCACCTCTTGTCCACTGGAACTTGTTTAGTTCCCTCCCAAAGCTGTGTTTTTTCCTACTGAATGCCTTTCATATGTGCAGCAGTTGTGTCCTGGTGTTCAAATGGCCAGTAGCCGATCTACATGTGAGCTGGTGAAATAAATTCTGTAATAATTCTTTGTGTGTATAACAACCAACTTATCATGCCCGAATACTTCCATCAACGACAAACTGCATTTCTGGTGGAGGCTGTTGGCTTTGGCACCTCTAGCAAATGAAATATGCATTTACTGCGTGCGCATATTTCTGGATTGTTTTGGGACTAATTGTTTGTTCACTAAGTTTTCAAATGTGACAGCGAGGGACATTTCATTTGATTTTCACTGGCACAGGAATGGAGCAAGTATGGGGGAAACCCCATCGCAGTGAAGTTGAAACGTTGACTGAGACTAAGACTCCCAAACCTTAGCATTAGTGATTCTGTCATACCGTCTAAACACCCCTATTCTGCACAGGCACCAGTTAATAAATGTGTGTAGTTTATTTGTAACTGTTTAATTTGTTCTCCACGTATCCGCTCCATCCAGCAGTACTGATTTGAATCAAAAATGTTAAGTTTAGTATAAGTTTTAAATTACTTTTACCTCCACGCCGAGGAGCGGCTGGCCAAACAGTTAGAACACTGGGCACTTAAGCGGAAGACCCAGATTCAAATCCTCGGTAAGGTTGTGAATTTTTTTCTGTTGGCAAAATAAAATCCTCACCCGCACAGTCCATGGCAACAGCACTAGCCATGCAGCTGTAAATCCTCAGGCTCAAAGACCCTCCCCCCTTCCCCACCTACACCGCAAAAGTGGTAATATCTCTATAAGTTCCCATATCTTTATCTATATTACTGCTCACATACTTTTTCAACCATTAAATAATAGTAGTAAGGAGGTGACTGACTGACCCTCTACCCCACCAGGACATCACACAAGCGATAAACAGCCGATGACACAATATGCCACCATGCGGGTGAGGATCACCGTGGAGAGGTCCCAAAAACCGCGTTCAGCCTTTATGCCATATTTTTAGCCAGGCCATATTGCGGCCCCTGGCAAGAGCCAGAGTCGGGCTTCAAATAACGAAAAATCTTGTCCTAAAAAGGACGAGAAGTTTTGATTATAAAAACAGTAAGTAAGTAAAGACTACCCCATTATAAATCCATAGAAACTCTAAACCAGTGTTTCTCAGTGAAGCAAAAAGAAAAATTATTTTTTTGCTTGGGGGTCACCACAAAATGAGGATCTGTATTAAAGGGTCACCACAACATGAGGATCTGTATTAAAGGGTCACCACAACATAAGGATGTGTATTAAAGGGTCACCACAACATAAGGATCTGTATTAAAGGGTCACCACAACATGAGGATCTGTATTAAAGGGGTCGCAGCATTAGGAAGGTTGAAAACCACTGATCTTAATGGAAGCCAAAATTCTAAACGATCTGAGCATCGAAGAAAACTGGCTCATAAACAGCATCCTGTCCTGAACGCAGAAGTAATTTGGCCATGCTAGACCTCATGATGGCCCAGAGAGAGAACAGGGATGGAAGGAACAGTGTCTAGAAAACAAGACAGAGGCAGACCACCGCAAAGGTGGATTCAAGACAGTGAAGATGCATCGGCTATGCAGGCAAACAGGGCTGGAGAATTGGCTACAGAAGGAGAGACTTTCAGGCGTGCCGTGACGAGAGCGACACCCTGCAGATCAGCGATAAAGTGAGTAAAGGAAACTAACATATAAGACTCTCGTTTTTACACACCGATCAGCACTCGATGGGTGATGTTGTCGAGAGGACATAGCATGTCAAAAAAGTCGACTAATTAGGGATGTTTTCTTCGAAGTGGGGGTGCATCTGCCTGAGATATCAGGAACCAACAGCCTGCATACAAATAAGCCAGATCTGTAAAACAGAGGTGCGTGCAAAAACTCAGCTTCTGGAACAAGACTAAAGTCCAGAAGTGGACAAACAACCAGAACTTTCCGTTAGAGCTTACAGATGGTGAACGTAAAGAAGAAAAACCAGAAAACTTAGCCCTGCCTTTTTTTTATGCTCCTTCTTCTTCAGGACATGCATCTTGCATGGCATTAATTACCAGATAATCTGCACACGTGTTGCCTCAAACACCTTCATGCATGGCACAATTATAGAGGTTTAGGTGAATTATTTGTGACGTAGCTAATGAGAGAAGAGAAATCTACTGTTAGTTGCTTGTCGACCACAATATGGTCTTCTTCTTCTTTGCGTTTACCAGCTGTAAACTCTGGCGGAATGTCCTGGTTTTTCGTCCATTTCTGGATCTTTGACTCATTCCAGAACCTCAGTGTTGCGTGTGCATCCGTTTGACAGATCTGACACATTTGTGTGCAGACAGTTGGTTCCTTGCCTCACAGGCAGATGCATTCCGACTTCAAAAGAAGCTCCCAATTAGTCGACTCTTACCACATGCTTTTGGGTAGGCAGTGGGTCTGTTCTTGTTTTCCTATAATAGGGCCCCGGAACCCACACGGGGAGCTATATATATATAGTATTGATTTCTTGGATACGCACATGTCTCAGAGCTTCAACTGGCCAGAGACGTGGATTTTTCTTGGAGAGATCTCAGTTAAACAATCTGGTGTATTTTTTTTTCGTAACTGAAACAATGTCTCTTCATGTAATGTGCTGATGAAAACTTTCTAGCCGCAACGTTGACTTGTCATTTGTGAAAAGCTAAAGCTGGCTAGTTCTACTTTTCATTTGGTTTGAAATCTTTTTAGTTGCCTGGTACTGAGAAAGCAAAGGTATTTATATTATTCATGATTCTACCTGATGCTCCGTGCATAAAGCCTTCCAGCGATGGTCTGACAGAACTGAATTCATCTTCAGACTCCCAGAATTCAAGATTGAGAGCCAGGCATCTGGCTGTTTTCTCTTAGAAAATTTGTATCTTTTGCACAGAAGATTTATCTGCAAATAAATGTTTCCAATATTACACAATTTAAAACAAAAACAACACAAAAATTAAAATGTGACACTTGCCCTTCACCCGTAGATTATAAATAAGTAGATTATAAATAAGTAGATTATAAATAAGTAGATTATAAATAAGTAGATTATAAATAAGTAGATTATAAATAAGTAGATTATAAATAAGTAGATTATAAATAAGTAGATTATAAATAAGTAGATTATAAATAAGTAGATTATACATAAGTAGATTATAAATAAGTAGATTATAAATAAGTAGATTATAAATAAGTAGATTATAAATAAGTAGATTATAAATAAGTAGATTATACATAAGTAGATTATAAATAAGTAGATTATAAATAAGTAGATTATACATAAGTAGATTATAAATAAGTAGATTATAAATAAGTAGATTATAAATAAGTAGATTATAAATAAGTAGATTATACATAAGTGGATTAAAAATAAAATATATTGTGGGGGGGGGGGGGGGGGGGGGGGGGGGTGTGTGAGTACTTACTGTCCTTGGCGGTTTCATCTCAAGATGTTAAATGTTGAGAGTTAAATACTGAATTAAAAATCAATATCATAGAAAAGTCAGCTAAAAATTGTGAAATTATTAAAGAAGGCATAAAGTTACTTAAAAGCTAAAACTTAAGTTGTCTTCCCTGGCCACTGTTGAAAAGAGTTTATTTTGTGTTTTTACACTTAGACATGCTTTATATTGCATAACATGCAAATCTCAATGTGCTAAGAATTGTCCTTGCATTTATCTCCGCTGTGTGTCTTCTTTTTTCAAGTATTCACACCCCTTTAAGCGTAGGGGTGCCGCAAATTCTTATTATATATATATAAAATACATTTGCTCATTAGCTTACCTGCTTAACAACATGTCCTGGCAACAGATGTGATTCAGCAGAAGATGGAGACCCCACTTCAATGACACAATCCTCTTTATCTTTAGCATCCTGGAGGTCAAAGGAAGCCGCCACATACTCCAACCAGAACCTGGGGTTTGAAAATACAGGTAAAATACAATCAATAGGCAGGTGCTTCAACCAGAATCTGGGATTTGACAACACAGATAAAATACAATCCCTACTTCAACCAGAATCTGGGATTTCTTCTTCTTCTTTTCACTCGTCTGAGTGACATATATGCACTGTGCCTGTTTACAGCAGAACTGCGATATTTGCGCTTTTTGGCCAACACATCTGACTTCATCAAGCATGTTGACGGGTTAACTTCCCGGACAGTTTCGTAGAACAGGGACATGTTGTGGCCTTATTTCAGTAGTGTTTTCTTTGTCCCCCTATCCACAGTTCTTGCCCCTGGAGACCCCGTCCAGGGCTCCGGCGTGGTGACAGCTCGGCCCTCAAGGGAAGACAGGGACAGAACATTGGGCATTTCCCGCCATCCAAGGAGGCTTCCATAAATACAGAGCAGACACATGTGATAATAATACAGTTCTCGACACTTCTCTTTCTCACCTTACACTTCTCTTTCTTTTTCTCACCTCAACTTACAAAGACTCTCATTCAACTCAAAGACCTTCAATAAACAAAGACTCTTTCTCACCTCAACTTACAAAGACTCTTTCTCACCTCAACAAAGACTGCTTTCTCATCTCAACAAAGACTCTTTCTCATCTCACCTCAAAGACTACCTCACAAAAGACTCTTTCTCACCTCAACTAACAAAGACTCTTTCTCACCTCAACTAACAAAGACTCTTTCTCACCTCAACTAACAAAGACTCTTTCTCACCTCAACTAACAAAGACTCTTTCTCACCTCAACTAACAAAGACTCTTTCTCACCTCAACTAACAAAGACTCTTTCTCACCTCAACTAACAAAGAAAGACTGCACAGATTATTCTTCATTTTGTAAAACACTGCCTTCGCTTGAGCTAGTCTACCTTTAACTTTTCCAATATGTCTTCCATCTGCTGTTATCAAGGTATCCTGTTGGACTGTGTTAACTAAATTGGTGGCTGTCATAGTGATAAAAAAAAAACAATGCATGCAGGTTCCTCAACGCAGACAACGAGCAAAACACAGAAGTGAGGAACACACTAACACTTCAAGTCCCAGGGGGTTAAGCATCGGAGGCCCAAGGGGTGGTAAAGGTGAACGAATAATCATTCACTGGGCTTCTGGGTAGGCACAAATGAATGTATGCATGATGCGGGACTGAAAGTGTTAACCAATCAGGATGAGGTCATCCTCGATGAAGGTTGGCTGCTATAGATCTCCAACAAGCTCAGTCTCTTGTCTTAGTTGTAAACTCTCTTAGACTGATGCCTGTTCATTTTTTGATGCTGCCCTCCCACTTGTATTGTTGTCTACCTCTTGATCTCTTGTACCTGACCCTTCCGTCCAGTATGGTTTGTAATGCAGTTAAAATATTTCAAGAGGAACACACTGCGATGTGTAAATCAAAATTCACATCATAGGTGAATCAAACATGACAAGCACGAAAACTAACCTCAACGTATACTCAAAATTTGATATTTGATTCGGATGTAAACAATCAACTACAGCATCTAGAATGTACTTGTAGGATTTATAAGGTGGCACCTGGTTGTGGTCTTTGCATCTGACATTCAAAGGTGAAGGTGAGGTCATCAGACATGCACAAACAGCGGCAGCAGAGGTAACACCCATGGCGGACTGAATATCCTAGGAGAAACATAACAATATTTGATACCGGTAATATGTCTTGTGGAGTGAGATGGAACAACAAATTTCAAAATGTTATAGTTTTGACACTTCCTACTCTACACATACACTTGTTGGACCGACAGGCATGCACCACCGCACTGGACTTTCCTTTGCAGATGAATTTCTAAGGGTTTCACCCTTTCACTGATCAAAAACTTGGATAAAAGAACACTGCTCCTCTTTGGTGCATGTCAAAAGTGGGGTGGTCATCGCAAACTGTCTAAAGCATCACCATGTTTGTCTGCACCATGATGTCACATGCTTAACACTCTTGACATCCTTAACAACAAATTGACAAATGACAGGACAAAGGCATGGTAACTGTAATATCTATTACACTTTCAAGGTTTTCACTTGAAGCAACCTCGTGTAGTATCTATAAAACAGGTTACATTAAAAAAAAAAAACAATACAAACAATAAAAATATCAAGCCCAAAAAAAATGCAAAAGCATGGGCGGTAATCGCACACGCTAAAGTATACATATATACATTTGTACCAACACATAAAAAAGAGACCAACAGCCAGGTAAACCAACAGACAGAGAGGTGACAAACGGCCAGGTAAACCAACTGACAGAGAGGTGACAAACAGCCAGGTAGTCCAACAGACAGAGAGGTGACAAACAGCCAGGTAAACCAACAGACAGAGAGGTGACAAACAACCAGGCAAACCAACAGCCAGGTAAACCAACAGACAGGTAAACCTGCAGCCAGGTAAACCAACAGCCAGGTAAACCAGCATACAGAAAGGTGACCAACAGTCAGGTAAACCAGCAGACAGGTAAATAAACAGACAGGTAAACCAACTGCTAAGTAAACCAACAGACAGGTAAACCAACAGACAGTTAAACCAACAGCCAGGTAAACCAGCAGCCAGGTAAACTAACAGTCCAGTTAAACCAACAGCCAGGTAAACCAGCAGCCAGGTAAACTAACAGTCAGGTAAACCAACAGACAGGTAAACCAACAGACAGGTAAACCAACAGCCAGGTAAACCGGCATGCAGAAAGGTGACCAACAGTCAGGTAAACCAGCAGCCAGGTAAACCTACAGCCAGGTAAACCAACAGCCAGTTAAACCAGCAGCCAGGTAAACCAGCAGACAGGTAAATCTACAGCCAGGTAAACCAACAGCCAGGTAAACCTACAGCCAGGTAAACCTACAGCCAGGTAAACCTATAGCCAGGTAAACCTACAGCCAGGTAAACCAACAGACAGGTAAACCTACAGCCAGGTAAACCAACAGCCAGGTAAACCGGCATGCAGAAAGGTGACCAACAGCCAGGTAAACCAACAATCAGGTAAACCAGCAGACAGGTAAACCAACAGACAGTTAAACCAACAGCTAAGTAAACCAACAGACAGTTAAACCAACAGCCAGGTAAATTAGCAGCCTGGTAAACCAACAGCCAGGTAAACCTGCATGTAGAAAGGTGACCAACAGCCAGGTAAACCAACAGTCAGGTAAACCAACAGTTAGGTAAACCAACAGTCAGGTAAACCAACAGACAGGTAAACAAACAGACAGGTAAACAAACAGACAGGTAAACCAACAGACAGGTAAACCAACAGCCAGGTAAACGGGCATGCAGAAAGGTGACCAACAGCCAGGTAAACCAGCAGACAGGTAAACCAACAGCCAAGTAAACCAACAGCCAGGTAAACCAGCTGCCAGGTAAATTAGCAGCCAGGTAAACCAACAGACAGGTAAACCAACAGACAGGTAAACCAACAGACAGGTAAACCAACAGCCAAGTAAACCAACAGCCAAGTAAACCAACAGACCGGTAAACCAACAGACAGGTAAACCAGCAGCCAGGTAAACCAGCAGCCAGGTAAACCAACAGACAGGTAAACCAACAGACAGGTAAGCCAACAGACAGGCAAACCAACAGACAGGTAAACCAACAGACAGGTAAACCAACAGACAGGAAAGGACCAACAGCCAAATAATCCAACAGACAAAGAAAAGACCCAGGTAAACCAACAGACAGAAAGGTGACCAAATGCCAGGTAAACCAACAGATAGAAAGGTGACCAACTGCCAGGTAAACCAACAGACAGAAAGGTGACCAACTGCCAGGTAAACCAACAGACAGAAAGGTTACCAACTGCCAGGTAGACCAACAGACAGAAAGATGACCAACTGCCAGGTAGACCAACAGACAGAAAGGTGACCAACTGCCAGGTAAACCAACAGACAGAAAGGTTACCAAATGCCAGGTAAACCAACAGATAGAAAGGTGACCAACTGCCAGGTAAACCAAAAGACAGAAAGGACTAAACAAACAACAAACGAACCTGTGATTTCAGGCGCAACAGAACATGTAGATAGAAGGTTGGTTTGAGCCCAGAAAACTCCATACACAGGTCAGTGATTAACCGGTTTACTACAACCAGACACCTCACTCTGTTCGGTGTGTCCTCTAGCTCGTTCCGCTCATCGACCAGAGTCTGGATGTGATTCATAACTTCCGACATAAGCTGCACACAAAAAAAAGAGGTAGGTTATTTGCTAAATTCTACAGATTTCAGCAAATTTATTTCTGATTACAGGAAGTTTGGAAACAACAGTAACAGTGTGTGGTAGGTGTGTGGTAACTGTGTGGTAGCTGTGTGGTAACAGTGTAATAGCTGAGTGGTAATAGTGTGGTAGCTGTGAGGTAATAGTGTGGTAACTGTGTGGTAATAGTGTGGTAGCTGTGTAGTAATAGTGTGGTAGCTGTGTGGTAAAAGTGTGGTAACTGCATGATAACTGCTGGTAAAAGTGTGATAACTGCGCGGTAAAAGTGTGGTAACTGCGTGGTAAAAGTGTGGTAACTGCATGGTAAAAGTGTGGTAACTGCATGAAACTGCTGATTAAAGTGTGATAACTGCGTGGTAAAAGTGTGGTAACTGTGTTGTAAAAGTGTGGTAACTGCTGGTAAAAGTGTGATAACTGCTGGTAAAAGTGTGATAACTGCTGGTAAAAGTGTGATAACTGCGTGGTAAAAGTGTGGTAACTGCATGGTAACTGCATAATAACTGTTGATAAAAGTGTGATAACTGTGTGGTAAAAGTGTGGTAACTGTGTTTAAAAAGTGTGGTAACTGCTGGTAAAAGTGTGATAACTGCGTGGTAAAAGTGTGGTAACTGTTGTAAAAGTGTGGTAACTGTGTTGTAAAAGTGGGGTAACTGTGTGGTAAAAGTGTTGTAAAAGTGTGGTAACTGCGTGGTAAAAGTGTTGTAAAAGTGTGGTAACTGCGTGGTAAAAGTGTTGTAAAAGTGTGGTAACTGCGTGGTAAAAGTGTTGTAAAAGTGTGGTAACTGCGTGGTAAAAGTGTTGTAAAAGTGTGGTAAGTGTGTTGTAAAAGTGTGGTAGCTGTGTTGTAAAAGTGTGGTAACTGCGTTGTAAAAGTGTGGTAACTGTGATGTAAAAGTGTGGTAACTGTGTTGTAAAAGTGTGATAACTGTGTTGTAAAAGTGTGGTAACTGTTGTAACTGTGTTGTAAAAGTGTGGTAACTGTGTTATAACTGTGTGGTAACTGTGTTGTAAAAGTGTTGTAAAAGTGTGGTAACTGTGTTGTAAAAGTGTGGTAATTGTGTTGTAAAAGTGTGGTAATTGTGTTGTAAAAGTGTGGTAACATTGTGGTAACTGTGTTGTAACTGTGTTGTAAAAGTTTAGTAAAAGTGTGGCAACAGTGTGGTAACCTTGTTGTAAAAGTGTGGTAACTGCGTGGTAAAAGTGTGGTAACTGTGTGGTAAAAGTGTGGTAACTGTGTGGTAAAAGTATGGTTAATGTGTGGTAAAAGTGTTGTAACTGTGTGGTAACTGTGTTGTAAAAGTGTGGTAACTGTGTTGTAACTGTGTGATAACTGCATGGTAAAAGTGTGGTAACTGTGTTGTAAAAGTGTGGTAACTGCATGGTAACAGTGTGGTAACTGTGTTGTAGCTGTGTAGTAAAAGTGTGGTAACAGTGTGGTAACCTTGTTGTAAAAGTCTGGTAACTGTGTGGTAACTGCGTGGTAAAAGTGTGGTAACTGCATGGTAAAAGTGTCGTAACTGTGTGGTAAAAGTATGGTAATTGCGTGGTAAAAGTGTTGTAACTGTGTTGTAAAAGTGTGGTAACTGTGTTGTAAAAGTGTGGTAACTGTGTTGTAAAAGTGTGGTAACTGTGTTGTAAAAGTGTGGTAACTGTGTTGTAAAAGTGTGGTAACTGTGTTGTAAAAGTGTGGTAACTGTGTTGTAAAAGTGTGGTAACTGTGTTGTAAAAGTGTGGTAACAGTGTGGTAGCTGCGTTGTAACAATGTGTCCAGGCCCTAGCCTGCTCTTGCTAAGGTTTAAATCCCTAGCGAAGTAAATCTTTATAGATGAACTGCAAGAAGACATCACCATGTGATGGACATCCTCACAGGCAAACAGACGTTATGTGATAGGTTAACTCACCTGCATAAAGAAAACATGTGATGGACATCCTCACAGGCAAACAGACGTTATGTGATAGGTTAACTCACCTGCATAAAGAAAACATGTGATGGACATCCTCACAGGCAAACAGACGTTATGTGATAGGTTAACTCACCTGCATAAAGAAAACATGTGATGGACATCCTCCCAGGCAAACAGACGTTATGTGATAGGTTAACTCATCTGCATAAAGAAAACATGTGATGGATTTACTCAACTGTATAAATAAAACATGTGAAAGATGTACACACCTGCATAAAGACTTGATGATCAGAAGGCTGCACCAAATCCACAACAAAAGAAGCATCTCTAGGTGTTCCTTCCATGGAAGCAGTGGCCAGAAACCCTCTCACTTTATCAAAAACCTGCCTGAGACTTTCTGCAACTTAAGACAGCATGAACGAATGAAGAATCATGAACGTTCATGTTAACTGTACTACAATCAAACAAGTACAAGAATTCAAATATCAAGGAAGCATATTTACGGAGGATGACTCAATAGAAAGATAGAAGCCAGAGTACAAAAGACAAGTGCCCCCCCCCCCCCTTTTGACACCCACTTGTCTCCCTTCCAGCAAAACAGCAAACAATTATTAGCATCTTTACTTTATGCTGTTAATGTCAAACATGGACAATGAAGAGGGCAGTAGAATATAAAAACATGTGAAATGCGCTGTCTCCACAAGGTCACTAACAACACTAGATGAGACAGAATTACGAAATACTGGCATTAGAGAGAAAGCTCAAATAAGACCATAGATTATATTGACAGACAAAGAATGAAATGGTTCAGCCATTTGGTGAGAATGCAGCCAGACCAGACTGCATATGAAACTTTTCACAGCAGAACATCTGGGAGAAAGGCAAGAGGAAGACCAATAAAGAGATGAATCAATGGTGTAGCTGAAACCTGCCAAAAAGATGAACAAATCCATCACTCAAGCCTATCCAAGAAGCACAAGACAAATTTAGAAAAACCACAACACTGGGCTACAACCTGGTATCAGTGAAATGACAAAAGAAGAAGAAGAAGAAGAAGAAGAAGAAGAAGAAGAAGAAGAAGAAGAAGAAGAAGAAGAAGAAGAAGAAGAAGAAGAAGAAGAAGAAGAAGAAGAAGAAGAAGAAGAAGAAGAAGAAGAAGAAAGAAGAAGAAGAAGAAGAAGAAGAAGAAGAAGAAGAAGAAGAAAAAGAAATGACGAAAAAGAAGACAGCAATAATGTCATTACAACAATAACGCTATCTCTCTGGGTTATGAATATGGTTACTTTCTCAAAGTGTAGCCAAGGTAACATAGTGGCTAGCACCATCAGCAAAAGTGGCTAGTGCTCTCAGTAACAGTGGCTAGTGCTCTCAGTAACAGTGGCTAGTGCTCTCAGTAACAGTGGCTAGTGCTCTCAGCAAAAGTGGCTAGTGCTCTCAGTAACAGTTGCTAGCACCATCAGCAAAAGTGGCTAGTGCTCTCAGTAACAGTTGCTAGCACCATCAGCAAAAGTGGCTAGTGCTCTCAGTAACAGTGGCTAGTGCTCTCAGTAACAGTGGCTAGTGCTCTCAGTAACAGTTGCTAGTGCTCTCAGTAACAGTGGCTAGTGCTCTCAGTAACAGTGGCTAGTGCTCTCAGCAAAAGTGGCTAGTGCTCTCAGTAACAGTTGCTAGTGCTCTCAGTAACAGTTGCTAGTGCTCTCAGTAACAGTTGCTAGTGCTCTCAGTAACAGTTGCTAGTGCTCTCAGTAACAGTTGCTAGTGCTCTCAGTAACAGTTGCTAGTGCTCTCAGTAACAGTTGCTAGTGCTCCTCAGTAACAGTTGCTAGAGCCACTTTTGAAAAAAAAAAATTTAAAAAAAAAACAACTTTTTAATAGATGTTAAAAAAAAAATAATTACCTTTATCTTGCTTTCCTGCGGTGAGGACTTTAATGTAATAGTCGAGTCTCACAGTAAGTTGACATAGAGGTGGCAAGTTCATTTCCTCAAGCTCATATTCATCGTCAATATCAAACACATCTAAACATATTCATAAATCACATCACACATCTGTCAGCAAAAATATCAGGAAAAAAATCACACATCTGCGAGCAAAACATTAGAAACATCACACATCTGCAAGTAAGAACATCACAAACATCACACATCTGCAAGTAAGAACATCACAAACATCACACATCTGCAAGTAAGAACATCACAAACATCACACATCTGCGAGCAAGAACATCACAAACATCACACATCTGCGAGCAAGAACATTAGAAACATCATGCATCTGAGAAGCAGAGAATATCAGAAACATTGCACATCTGTAAAGCAAGAACATCAGAAAAAAAAATCACACATTTGTGAAAAAAGAACATCAGAAACACCACAAATCTCTAAGCAACATCATAAACATCACTTGTCAGTAAGCTAAAGCCTCATCAATTTCACACATGTCTGCAAGCAAATAAGTCATCAATATCACACGTCTGTAAGCAAATACATAATAACCAATCTCACACGTCTGTAAGCAAATACATCATCAATATTACACATCCGTAAGCAGATACATAAACAATCTCACACATGCCTGTAAGCAAATACATCATCAATGTCACACATGCCTGTAAGCTTAAATAAAATATAAATCAGATGTCTGTAAGCAAATACTGGACTTACAGGAATAAATACAGGCAAAAAACGCCCCCCACCAAACAAAAAAATTTTGAAGAAAATTAGAAAATGGGGTCAATCAGATGGGAGGAGACATGGTCAGCTGGACAGTGACAGCAAAGTAAAACACTTGATGGGAGGAGACATGGTCAGCTGGACGGTGACAGCAAAGTAAAACACTTGATGGAAGGAGACATGGAGACATGGTCAGCTGGAACGGTCAGCTGGGACAGCAGCTGGGAAGACATGGTAAAACAGCAAAGTAGAACTTGATGGAGAGGAGACATGGTCAGCTGGACGGTGACAGCAAAGTAAAACACTTGATGGGAGGAGACATGGTCAGCTGGACGGTGACAGCAAAGTAAAACACTTGATGGAAGGAGACATGGTCAGCTGGACGGTGACAGCAAAGTAAAACACTTGATGGGAGGAGACATGGTCAGCTGGACAGTGACAGCAAAGTAAAACACTTGATGGAAGGAGACATGGTCAGCTGGACGGTGACAGCAAAGTAAAACACTTGATGGGAGGAGACATGGTCAGCTGGACGGTGACAGCAAAGTAAAACACTTGATGGGAGGAGACATGGTCAGCTGGGAGGAGACATGGTCAGCTGGACGGTGACAGCAAAGTAAAACACTTGATGGAAGGAGACATGGTCAGCTGGACGGTGACAGCAAAGTAAAACACTTGATGGGAGGAGACATGGTCAGCTGGGAGGAGACATGGTCAGCTGGGAGGAGACATGGTCAGCTGGGAGGAGACATGGTCAGCTGGACAGTGACAGCAAAGTAGAACACTTGATGGGAGGAGACATGGTCAGCTGGACGGTGACAGCAAAGTACAACACTTGACAAGAGATAGCTGAGGGCCTATGCTCCATCTGGGGATAACAGCAGGAAAACAAATGTACTCGACTTACTCTATTAGATACAAAACAAGCCACAAAAAAACAAGAATACTTCTGGATGGGCGATGAAGCTGAACTCTGACCTTCTAATAACTCCTGCTTTTCCTTTTCGCATTCCTGCAGGTAAGTGTTGTACATAGCTGGAGGGATCTTCCCTGCGTTGTTGATCTCAGAAATCAGCTTCATTCTCTGGTCTGGGACATCGGGTAACTAATTTCATAAGCAATACAAGTTTTATATCACTATAAACAATCACCGATACAAGGCTTATAGACAGAACTAAACAAATGTCTTTAAATCAACAGGTAATTAAAAAAGCATTGGTAATGGATGCCGCACACACTGAGAAAACTATATAATAGTACAATTAGAAAATAGTTTCTCTGGAACCTACAAAAAGAAGAAAAAGAAGAAGAAGAAGAATGAGGAGGAAAAGGGGAGGAGAAGGGGAGGAGGAGGGGAGGAGGAGGGGAAGAGGAGGGGAGGAGAAGAAGTGGAGCCCTGCAATGGCAACAGAAAACAAGAAAACAGAAGAAGAAGAAGATGGGCAAGTAGGAGGAGGAGAAGAAGAAATAGAAGAGCGCAACTGCAGCAGCAGCAAAAGAAGAAGTAGATGATGATGAAGAAGTAGAAAAGTGCAGTGCCAGCAGCAGCAGAAGAAGTAGATGATGATAAAGAAGCAGAAAAGTGCAGTGCCAGCAGCAGAAGAAGAAGTAGATGATGATGACGAAGTGATGATGAGTGAAGTAGCAGCAGCAGAAAGTAGATGAGTGCCAAGCAGAAAAGTGCAGCAGAGCAGAAGAAGAAGTAGATGATGATGAAGAAGTAGAAAAGTGCAGTGCCAGCAGCAGAAGAAGTAGATGATGATGAAGAAGTAGAAAAGTGCAGTGCCAGCAGCAGCAGAAGAAGTGATGAGATAGATGAGTGAAGCAGCAGCAGCAGAGAAGAAGAAGATGATGAAAAGTGCAAAGTGCAGTGCCAGCAGCAGCAGAAGAAGTAGATGATGATGATGAAGAAGTAGAAAAGTGCAGTGCCAGCAGCAGCAGAAGAAGTAGATGATGATGAAGAAGTAGAAAAGTGCAGTGCCAGCAGCAGCAGAAGAAGTAGATGATGATGAAGAAGTAGAAAAGTGCAGTTCCAGCAGCAGAAGAAGTAGATGATGATAAAGAAGCAGAAAAGTGCAGTGCCAGCAGCAGCAGAAGAAGTAGATGATGATGACGAAGTAGAAAAGTGCAGTGCCAGCAGCAGCAGCAGAAGAAGAAGATGATGATGAAGAAGTAGAAAAGTGCAGTGCCAGCAGCAGAAGTAGATGATGATGAAGAAGTAGAAAAGTGCAGTGCCAGCAGCAGAAGAAGAAAAGAAGAGCGCAGCAGAAGCCGAAGATAAAGAAGAAGAAAAATAAGAAGCAGCAGCAACAGCAGGGGAAGGAATGATCATAACCCCATTATTGTGCTATAAATCTTTTTTTTCTCCACTGCCACGTTTACCGCTTCGTATTTGCCATATTTAAGTTAAATATGGTTTTAAGTGATTAGTGATTAGAAAGAATTATCATCACAGCACTTCGGACAGATCCATAGGTGCTCCGATCTCCTCCTCAAAAGCTCCACAATGCAGTTTCAACTTCACAGCAAATAGCTCATCCCATCCTTTCTTCTCTCCTGTGCCAGCGGAAACTACACAGAATGTCTAACTCTGTCCCTTGTAAACATTGGTATAGGCTCCCCCTAGACCATCCACCTGTACTGACTGACATGCTTGATACAGACTTCCGGCCTAAAATGGAGGACTAGGCATGGCAGAATGTTAAGTGCTGAAGTTAATTTTGCTTCTGACAGCGCTTTGCTAATGCAGTTTCCACATAGATGGAAGTCTACAGTTTTGCTGCTTGAGCTACTGAGTTTAGTGATTGGGCAGCCCTGTGAGCTGTGTTTTTACTGTGGAATGCCTTTCATGTGTGCAGCGGTTGTGTGGGGGTATTCAATATGGCTGGTAGCCGGTTTACGTGTGAGCCGGTGAAATACCTTATGTAATAATTCTATGTGTGTACAGTAACCAGCTTATCGTGCCCGACTACTTGGATCAACGATAAACTGCATTTCTGGTGGCGACTGTTGGCTTCGGCGCCTCCAGCAACTGAAATAGGCATTTACTACGTGCGCATATTTCTGAATTGTTCCGGGACTAGCTGTTTGTTCACCAGTTTTTCAAATGCAACAATGAGGGACATGTCATTTGATTTTTCACTGGCACAGGAGCAGAACAAGTATGGGGAAATCTGACTGCGGTGAAAAACCTCAACTTAGACTAAGACTAAGTACAAGACTAAGACAAAGACTAAGACTAAGTACAAGACTAAGACAAAGACTAAGACAAAGACTAAGACTAAGTAAAAGACTAAGTACAAGACTAAGACAAAGACTAAGACTAAGTAAAAGACTAAGACAAAGACTAAGACTAAGTACAAGACTAAGACAAAGACTAAGACTAAGTACAAGACTAAGACAAAGACTAAGACTAAGACTAAGACTAAGACTAAGACAAAGACTAAGACTAAGTAAAAGACTAAGTACAAGACTAAGACAAAGACTAAGACTAAGTAAAAGACTAAGTACAAGACTAAGACAAAGACTAAGACTAAGTAAAAGACTAAGTACAAGACTAAGACTAAGTAAAAAACTAAGGGGCTCACTACCACAAGGACACAGTGGGCAAATGTACGTCATCATCATCACCATAATGTGCCGTGTTGGTAACCGTAGGCTGTCCTGTTTCGCCGTCTCACATGATCACCAGAGTCATGGATCAGGTCAATGTTCTCGCCTCAGCCCCATTGATAAGGCCAAGCCATGCAGGTAATTATCTCTGTGTCTTGTTCCTCCGTTCTTTCTTGCAATCTTGTCAGTTGTTAACCTAGTGCTTGAATCTGTTCCTACTCTCATAACATGCCCCAAATATAACACAGACTAATCCTCACACAACACATCACCAAACACACAACACATCACCAAACACACAACACATCACCAAAGACACAACACATCACCAAAGACACAACACATCACCAAAGGCACAACACATCACCAAACACACAACACATCACCAAACACACAACACATCACCAAATGCACAACACATAACCAAAGACACAACACACCACCAAACACACAACACATCACCAAACACACAACACATTAGCAAACACACAACCCATCACCAAACATACAACACATCACCAAACACACAACACATCCCCAAACACACAACTCATCACTAAACACACAACACATCACCAAACACACAACCCATCACCAAACATACAACACATCACCAAATGCACAACACATAACCAAAGACACAACACATTACCAAACACACAACACACCACCAAACACACAACACATGACCAAATGCACAACCCATCACCAAAAATACAACACACCACCAAACACACAACACGTCACCAAATGCACAACACATCACCAAACACACAACACATCACCAAACACACAACACATCACCAAACATACAACACATCACCAAACACACAACACATCACCAAACACATCACATAACCAAAGACACAACACATCACCAAACACACCACCACCAAATGCACAACACATCACCCAACACATCACCAAACACGCAACACATCACCAAACACACACCCCATCACCAAACATACAACACATCACCAAACACACAACACATCACCAAATGCACAACACATAACCAAACACACATCACCAAATGCACAACACATAACCAAAGACACAAAAGGCACAACACATCAGCAAAGACACAACACATCACTAAACACACAACACATCACCAAACACATCCCCAAACACACAACTCATCACTAAACACACAACACATCACCAAATACACAACACATCAGCAACAACACAACACATCAGCAACCACACAACACATCCCCAAACACACAAAATATCACCAAACACACAACATAAAAACATCCCTCTAACTCACAAATCTGGGTTCCAGTAAGGCAGGCAGAAATTTCCCAATGAAATATGGCTTCCGGAAAATGCTAGAATAAGTAGAAATACAATTTGTTAATTCAGTCTTTTCTTTTCTTCTCTCATAATGGATAAGGAAGATGGTAAATGTAAATGAGTTAATTCTGAAGAAAGGTGAGATGGCAGATAAGACCACATGAATGAGGTTGTGTGAATTCAGAATGTGATCAATACTGAGCTAAGAACTGAAACCACAGCACTCAGGACTTTCCCATAAGCTATCACCTCAGCAGCAAGCGCACAGTTCCAATTCCAGTGGTACCAGTAACAGTCTGAAAGGTCTAGCCCTATATGCCCAATAGGTCTGAAAGTGTGGAAAAGGGTTCTTTACTTTTACTTTCATTTTTTTATGGGACTGGGTTGATACCTGAACTGTACTGACAGAGAAAAAGAAAAAAGAACAGGGACATCGAGAATGACTGCCAGAATTTAAACTGTAATTATAAAAGAAATATCTGACTCATATATATGTGAGACATCTTTAAATGATCCGAACAATTGAAAGTTTTATACCTAACTAGGTACACTTTGAAACAGGCCCCATTTGTAGCTCTGATGATATCTGGATAATATTCAGTCTCCTGCGACGCATTCTGAATCATGTTCAGAGCTACCGCTGTAACTGATCAGGGACCTCCTCTTAGAGGTTCTGGATGTTCCTTTTCTCAGCACAATTTGAAGCCTCACAGTCACACAAAACTAAACTTTTCGGAACATTATAAGACGCTAAATGCCTATATCTGTTAAATACTTCATTTAGAATAATAATGGGGCGGGGGGGGGGGGGGGGGGGCTGTCTGGTCTCGAGGTATGGTGTCCGCCTCGAGTGCAAGAGGTCCCGGGTTCAGGCCCCAGTAGAGGCTGAGATATTTTTCTGTTCACATGGACTTCTAGTAATTTCCCCTGGTCTCTGGGTAATGAGATCGGCCATCCGTGTGCATTGATGCACACGTAAAAAAATCTCCTGGCAGTTGGAAATCAAAAAGAGTAGCATAACAGCGCTGCCCTAGTTTAAAATCTACCCAAAATATTTCAGGATCCTCGCCGGTGCTACAGAGTCCGTGCACTGTGCTGAGCTACTTCGGACTGAGACTTGAGTTAGAAGTAGAACAGAGCACTTATGGGTTACTACCCTTGTGCCATGATGTTGATCCATTGTTCAAACTTCACAAACTTTTACAATAATAGTTGTGTTGTTGATTTTTTTTCATTCATCGGATGTGAACTATAGGGGAAGTCCTCGCTGTTCGTCTATTTGGACTTGGATGTTTGCCAGACCTGAGTTTTGCATGTACATCTGTTTTACTGGCTTATTTGTGTACAGAATAATATTCTTTGCCTCTTGGGCAAATGTACTCCAGCTTCAAAGAAAAACGTGTATTCTATCTTTAGCATTTTCGTAGCTATTATTTTATGGGACACGATGTAGCCTAGTTGTGTGCTGTCCTCTTTATCCCATTTTTTCTCCGACAGGTGTTGCCCCCTGAGAACCCGTCCAGGCAGCCAGGCTCAAACCCTTGACCCTCAAGGGGAAGCAGGGGTAGAACAGGGAACTGGGTTGGATCTATGTGCTAGGATGTCGACGCAGACAACTAGTAACATCGGACAATACAACTAGTCTTCTTCTTCTTCAGCATTCAGAGCCCATAAGGTTCATTGCTGCAGATATCACTCACCTCCACTCATCTCTATGTTTGACCTTCTCTTTCCATTTGGTGACACCAAGTGTTTGCAGGTCTGTCTGGACATTATCTCTCCATATTTTTCTTGGTCTACCTTGTGGTCTATGACCATTCATTTTCCTTGTGTATACAGTTTTTACTTCTCTGTCATTCTTTCATTATACGCCAACCATTTCAGTCTATTAGCTTTCATTATGCCAGTGATCAGTGGTGATTTAAACAGATTATGAATTTCGTTATTGCTTTTCACTCTCCAGTCCCTGTTGTTTGCATCTTTGATGGGTCCAGAGATTCGTCATAAGACTCTTGTTTTCAAAAACCTATAATAAAGCTTCATCTCTTTTAGTTGTGCTCCAAGTTTAAGAGCCATATTAAACGACTGGGACAATACAACTAGCAAAACATAAAATTAAATATAACTTCCAATCAGCATCTAATGAACAGACAAAGATACTGTACATCTCTGGTTACCTGGCTTCAATAATGGCAGTGGGTAGCTTTCCAGTTTCTGTGAATGTCTTGATAGTTTTTTCAACATCTTCCTCCGCTTGGTTTATAACCTGTTGCATGAGACAAGAAAGAAGAGTTTCTATATTCTTCTTTCTTGGTTCTTTACATAACCTGAGCATGCACTTAATAATTTCTTTTTCTTTTAGTCTTTGGCTATATTCAAACAATGAACATTTAATCTTAGATTTTAACTGCTGTAAAATTTTAATTTATAAGTACATAAATAAACATTTAATCTTTGGTTACATTTAAAAAGTACAGTAATGGACATTTATTATCCTCTGTTTGCATTAGAAAGTACAGTAATGGACATTTATTATCCTCTGTTTGCATTAGAAAGTACAGTAATGGACATTTATTATCCTCTGTTTGCATTAGAAAAACAGTAATGGACATTTATTATCCTCTGTTTGCATTAGAAAGTACAGTAATAGATATTTAATCTTTGGTTACATTTAAAAAGTACAGTAATGGACATTTATTCTTTGGTTACATTTAAAAAGTACAGTAATGGACATTTAATCTTTAGTTACATTTAAAAAGTACAGTAATGGACATTTATTATCCTCTGTTTGCATTAGAAAGTACAGTAATGGACACTGAATCTTTGGCTATATTTAAATTAAAAATTATAGTAATGGACAGTTAATCTTTGGTTTTATATATATTTAATAAATATTCTTAAAATAAACATAAGACATAAAAACTTGTCTATACTTCCAGACATGCTGCTCCCACAGTAAAACAAATACCTTCTTGTTACTCTCCTCCGTGCTCAGACTCGAACTGTTATATATACCTTTAGACAGGTCATGCAGCGGAACCTGCAAAAGTATACAATTAATTAGGTGGTATATGACTTACACCAGCAGGTACATACAAATATGAAGAAAAGATAACACACCAAACAAAAACAAAAGCAGAGACAGCTAGCTTCCCATTATCACAAACACAAGAAGGACAAGTGAACATCACAGCTAGGAAGCCTTCATCAGCACATGACATAAATCTACAACACTAACAAATATGATCAAAAATACAGAAAAATCACTTGAGTGAAGTGTCTCCAAGAGAAATTAATGTGTCTGGCATACAGAGTCCAGGATTCGCTAACATACAGTAGCGTGCTCAAGACACAAGACTCATAAACTTTCATTTTGGCATTATCAGTCAGCTTTTTCATTTGACCAGATAATGTTTTACACTTTAATAAACCCCAGACTACAGATAATGTTCCATAATTTATCAAACAGATAATTGTCAACAGACATCAGACCGCATTCAACAAAAACCATTTTTTTTTATCGTTCAACGGCAGTAAATTATAGAAAAAAGTTCCGATTGTCTGACCACTCGTGGACTTTGATCTTGATCCACAACTTGAGTTTTAGGTGCAAATCCATTTTACAGATCTGGCTTTTTTTTCTTTACGCAGACGATTGGTTGGTAGGCAGACGGCTGGTTCATTGTCTCTTAGGCAGATACACTCTGACCTGGACGGAAACACCCGCTAATAAGTCGCCTCCTACACGTGTTTGTTGGCGGTCGGCAGTGCGTCTATTCTTTGTTCTCCATAATGGAGCCACGGGGAAGGGAACTTACATATTACAGTAAAACTGAGTAACCTTCACTGGCTTCACCGTCAGTTTATGTTACCCATCCTCGTTTAAAAAGAAATGCCTGAGTATTAACCAACAGACCTCTTAATATTGTCCACGATGATCATGGAGGATCAGTTCTCAACTAAAAACCTATAACTAGACACTTAGAAGCAGAAACAATGTTATCAAAGTTCATCAAACGGCTTGAAATGCAAGAGGAGGTAAATGCAACACAGATCCTACTTCTGCGCAAGATACGGAGCATCGCCAGGCAGAAAACTTTGGCCTTAAAGGCATGGAAGGAGATGACAGATTATTTTTAAGTAACGTAGATTTATAGTATTACTTAACATTTCTGTACATTGCAACTCTTATTTTGAAATTTATATTAATGGTTTGTTAAATTAAATACTATATATATGTTTTACAGTCATCATTATTCAGCCATGTTTTGAAAAGAGGGAAAATGGAACATGATGTGACCACTGGAAAGATCTGTGGGAGGAGGGATAGAGGAAGACAACGAGAGAAGATTCTTGACAGTCTTGTTGCATGGCAGGGAGGTGTGTCAGCCCACGAAATGATACATGCTACAGGAGATCGCAGATTGTAGCACCAACGCCAGTCGGCAAGTTACTTAATGATGATGATGATATACATGTTATTCACTATCAAAGGATTTGATTTTCATTTTGCTGTACATATGTATTAAGAGATTTTTAATCAAAGCTTGACTGTATGTATAACCTATGACACCAAACACTGCATGGTGGTGAGAAGCAGACGGAGCCCCCTACCTTTAAATCTTCCAAACGTGTCTTGGCCAAAGCAACATAATCATCATACAGGCTTCTACATTTGGCAGGAATGGCCGGTCTCCTGAAGATGTGCACCTATTGATGACACAGATATTTTAGAGATAGTTATCAATTGTGAAAGGACATTTCATGTGAATTTTCACTGGCACAGGAATGGAGCAAGTATTGGGGGGGGGGGGGGGGGGGGGGGGGTGAGCCGGCTGCAGTGAAACCTTGACGACGACGATGACGAATACATTTATCAACAATTTGACAAATATTTTTCATTCGTTCATTCATTCACTCATTCATTCATCGTCCTGCTGTGTCCTTACATGTCAAATAGGGCTTGCAGTCTATTTCCCCATTCAGTTCTTCTTCTTCTTCTTCTGCCTTTCTAGCCCCCTATGGAGCATAGGCTCTCAACCAACTCATGCCAAGTCGTTCTATCTCTTGCTATCACATGCAGCTCTCTCCATGTCCTCCCTATCTTTCTAACTTCGTTCTGCAGCTCCCTTCTCTATGTATTTTTTGGCCTTCCTTTATTCCTATGCCTCTGTGGGTTCTAATGCACAGACATTCTCATTATATTGTTCTCCGGTTTTCTCAATGTGTGTACTATCCAACACCAGCATCTTTTCCTCACCTCTTGGTCCACTGGAGCTTGCTTAGTTCTGTCCCAAAGCTCTAGTGATTCTTTTTAGTGATTCTATGATACCATTTAATTCCCTCTATTCTGCGCAGGCTCCAGTTAATGAATGTCTGTAGTTTATTAGTAATTGCCTTAGTTGTTCTCCATGTTTCCGCCCTATACAAAAGTACTGATTTGATATTAGAATTTAAAAGTTCAATCAGTTCTACCCTGTGAGATCACTTTGGTAACATGAATGGAATCCAATCCAGCAACCATGGCCTCTCTCATAAACGTTCGCCCCAGGGTTTCTCTTGGACGTCATAACTTCCTCAATGCTTCTATTTCCCATTTCAGCACCTATTTTGGTGATTTTCTGTTCATCTCTTCTCAGAATGTGTTCAAAATATTCTTCTTCTTCTTCAGCATTCCTTGAGGTTCACTGCTGCAGATATCACCCGCCTCCATTCATCTCTCTGGTTAGCCTTTTTCAGCATTCCTTGAGGTTCATTGCTGCAGATATCACCCGCCTCCATTCATCTCTCTGGTTAGCCTTCTTTAGCATTCCTTGAGGTTCACTGCTGCAGATATCACCCGCCTCCATTCATCTCTCTGGTTAGCCTTCTTCAGCATTCCTTGAGGTTCACTGCTGCAGATATCACCCGCCTCCATTCATCTCTCTGGTTGGTTTTCTTCTTCAGCATTCCTTGAGGTTCACTGCTGCAGATATCACCCGCCTCCATCCATCTCTCTGGTTGGTCTTCTTTTTCCAGCTGGTGACACCAAGTGTTTGCAGGTCTGTCTAGACATTATCTCTCCATCGTGTTCAAAATATCACCTCCTTTTATGTCTTGTTACTGCCGGCACCAGTGGCTGCCCGCATATTTCTCTCAATTGTTCACTGACACTTTGAATTCACATATTTCTCTCAATTGTTCACCGACACTTTGAATTCACATATTTCTCTCAATTGTTCACTGACACTTTGAATTCACATATTTTTCTTAATTGTTCACTAAAACTTAGAATTCACATATTTCTCTCAACTGTTCACTAACACTTAGAATTCACATATTTCTCTCAATTGTTCACTAACACTTAGAATTCACATATTTCTCTCAATTGTTTACCAACACTTTGAATCAAGTCTCTTTTACATTCAGACAACTGATTATGTTCAAAAAGTTTATTATATGTGGACATCACATGTATGGCTCCCAGGTCGACCCAGCCTAAAGTGGGTACAGGTACAGTCCTGGGAGGTAAAGGCAGCCGGCGTGATGCTGACCACATCACCCATTTTGTGCTGTTGGTCTTTAAAACAAAAGTCTAGCCCAAAACACTCAATATGCCTGAAAGACATGGAAAAGGGTCCTTTACTTTCTACATTACATGTCATGTTGAATATGGGAGACACTGCGGCCTCGCTGCCACAATATTCCTAAGGACAGCAGTGGTACTCTGCAGCCAACCTGCGCCGCGGAGATGGCACAGAATTTTTGTTTTCTTTCTCAACTTCTTCTTCTTCTTTTCTTTATTCTTGGAATGCCTCATGGCGCAGGGCAGGAAGAGATATCTGAAATGGACCCTTCCGTTCGCTTTATATAAAGTACTTTTCAGTGCCTCTGACATTTCTACTGTCCATCTTCTGCGTGGTCAACCTCGTTTCCTAACACTGCGGCTCCCAAAAGCAATATACATCTGATTAGCCAACACAGTATGGGTGTTGAGTCATTTCATACAAGGAAACGAGCAAGCTGATAGACTTGCAGGTAAGGCTACTGTGAAAGCAGGATAAGCCGTGGACCAGACTGATATACTGAATGCTCTAAGAGAGTTAGGACCTTTGCGTGAACCAACTGAGAACTGTGAATCTGCAACCATGGTCAGACTGCAAGAGCAGCAAGTTAAACGGGGTGTCGCCAAACAAGAACACTACACGGGTAGCCAAAGAAGAATAATAAACCAACACAGTACTGGTGTTGTCAGCCGCTACAGGCTGCGGAATTTACTGAGGTCGGGATCTGAGCACTTATGGACTGAGTGGTTCGATGTGAAATGAGGTTAATCTGTCGACTAACTAACTAACTAACTAACTAACTAACTAACTAACTAACTTACTCATTTCATGCTTAAGTAGCTGTTTGAAAGGAGACTAAGAATCTTAGGAAATGTCTGGAGTTCTGCAATGATAGCCCTCACTAATCACTACTCTGAGAAAAATCCTAAACAATACCTACACAAGCAAAAAGCAGAAAGACAATGAGTTAAGAACCAACATAATAGCCCAAGGGACATTCCCATATTTGCTACATCCCCACCTTCAACAGCCAGCACAATGTTATACTGATTGTACCTGTAGCAGTCTGACTGCAGGTTCATCACATCTCCCCATCAGTGTTCAGTTTTAAAGTTTTGAAGGTTATGAACAATGAATCAACATCCGAGCACTTAATGGACAGAGTGATTCGACATGCAATGAGGATAATCTGTCGACTCAAGTCTGAGTCCGAAGAAGCTCAGCATACTTTGGGTAGATTTCTAAATCAAAATTTTGCCCGGGCAGTGTCGTTAGGCCACTCTTTTTTATTTCCAACTGCCAAAGGATTTTTTACGTGCCCAACAATGCACACGGGCGTCCGATCTCACTACCCAGAGACCAGGGGTAATTACTACAAGTCCAAGTCCACGTGAAAAAATCCCAGCCCTTACCGGGGACTGAACCCGGAATCTCTAGCACTCGAGGTGGAAACCATGCCTCGAGACCAGGCAGCTTCCTCCCATGAGTGTTGTGAAGGCCATAAACATCCCCTTTTCTTTTCACCACCTTCATCAGTCTCTTCATTTGAAAAAACAAAATTTGTAAACGTGACAAACCTTCAAATAGTCAGCAGATTCATCAGGCACCAGGCTGGAAATAAATCTCACGAGGCTGGTAAAAGTGGACCTTGTGGATGCCAGTGAACAGCTGCTGTCTCCAAAAGAGGTCTTCATGTGGAATACAATATAAAATATGTAGTAAGAAACTCACAAGATTGATAATCTCGAGTCGCATAATGATGTGACAAATTTGATCTTCTTCTTTTTCCATTTGATCTTTGTCTTATTCTTCTTCTTCTTCTCCTCCTCCTTCTTCTTCTACCTCCACCCTAATCACTCCCAAGTAGATTTTAATTCAGCAACGTTTATGTGAAAAATAAAACCCTAACCTGCAAAGTTCATGGCGACAGCGCTAGCCATGCAGCCCCCCCCCCCCCTTTTCCCCGCTATTTAAAAAAAATAAGTGGTTTATTCAATCAGTATTTCACCAAGCCTTCAATAAATCGCTTTTAAAGGGTCTTAAGTGTTTTTTTTTTTATCAGATCCTGGAACCCACTTGATTGGACAAAGATTATTTCAAACTTGACTAGAAACTGGATTTCCCACATCAAATTTGACCAGACAATTGATTTCCCACCTCATACTTGAGCATATATAGGTTTTCCCACTTCATAATATAAAGAATTCCCTACTTCTCATTTGACCAGATAAATACATTTTCTGCCACACACTTGACTATATAGAGGATGTCCCACCTCACACTTGACCAAATAGAGGATTTCCCACTTCACACTTGACTGTATAGAGGATTTCCCACCTCATACTTGACTATATAGAGGATTTCTCACCTCACACTTGGCTAAATAAAGGTTTTCCCACTTCACAGTTGACCAAATAGAGGATTTCCCACTTCACACTTGACTGTATAGAGGATTTCACACCTCACACTTGGCTATATAGAGGATTTCACACCTCACACTTGACTATATAGAGGATTTCACACCTCACACTTGACTATATAGAGGATTTCTCACCTCACACTTGGCTATATAAAGGTTTTCCCACTTCACACTTGACCAAATAGAGGATTTCCCACTTCACACTTGACTATATAGAGGATTTCCCACCTCACACTCGACTATATAGACAATTTCCCACCTCACACTTGACTATATAGAGGATTTCCAACCTAACACTTGAGTATATAAAGGTTTTCCCACCTGTCACTTGACTATGCAAAGGATTTCCCACCTGACACTTGCACTTGACTTTATAAAGGATTTCCCACCAATTAGACAATGAATTTCCCAGCTTACTGTTGAACAGATGAAGAATTTCCTACATGACAAGACAAAGAATTTTCTACCTCATACTTCACTAGAAAAAAACTCCTAGCACCAAAAGATTAGGGCTCCCCTTTCTAAACAGACCTGCGATTCCTCCCAGCTTCAACAGATCTGATTCTCTACACTCATTAGTTCTTGCCGCGTTGCTAGTCCATGGTTCTTCCAATCTTTCACTGCACAGTCTTCTACTTCTTTCTCCGCCCAGGGAATGTCAGATGAGCTGAGTTGAGTCAAGAATTGACATCACAGCACTCAGGGCATTCCCATGCGTGCTTCGTCCTCATCTTCAGCAGCCAGCGCAGAGTTCCAGTACTGATGGTACCAGTCACAATCTGGTTATATGTTCGTCTTGCCTTTCCTCTGAGTGTAGTGAGCCGGCCAGACCCTCTGGTTACACACAGGTGCTCATTCTCTCCTGACGGGTTGTCTGATGAGAAGACAACAGGATTCTTTATTAATATCCTACCCCAGATGACGTCACAGGACAGTCCAACATTTTAGAGGGTGGTAAGACTGGGTTTCCCAGCTTCCTGAGGCTTTTAATGATCCCAAAACTTCTAGAAATGGCCGTAACCCCAACCTACCTACATCCCACAAGAGAGTCCAGCCTAGGTCCCACGAATACCACCCCCTGAAATATTAGACTGTCCCACAACCTGTAGATTTCCCCTGTTTGGGGTAGGATATTAATAAAGCCCCGACAACAGGCCTCTAAGAATGTTGTGGTGAGATGCATGTCCTAAACTAATCCATACAAGCTTGGGTTCCAAAAGAATGCCAAATGGCCAGACCTGAGATCTTCCAACTGCATACAGAGAGCATGTCTGCAGCATGTATTCAATAATGTATGGTGCCTGTCAACAAGGGCAAAGTTCTGAGTCCCCAACAACTTACGGCCAAAATGAAGAAGAGGCTTGGCAGAATGTTCAGCTTCGAGGTTATTTTTGCTTCCGACAGCACTTTGTTAGTGCAGTTTCCACATAAGGACGGTAGTGTATGGTTCCGCTGCCTGAGCTACTGAGTTTAGTGCTTTGGTGCAGCACTGTGAGCTGTGTTTTTCCAGTGGAATGTCTTTCATTTGTGCAGTGTTTGTGTCATGGTGTTCAATATAGCCGGTAGCCAGTTTATGTGCGAGCTGGTGAAATACCTTATGTGTGTATAGTAACCAACTTATCGTGCCCGACTAATTTCATCAATGACAAACTACATTTCTGGTGGCAAATGTTGGCTTTGGCACCTCAAGCAACTGAAATATGCATTTAGTGCGTGCACATATTTCTGGATTGTTCAGGGACTAGTTGTTTGTTCACCAGTTTTTCAAATGCAACAATGAGGGACATTTCATTTGATTTTCACTGGCACAGGAGCAGAACAAGTATGGGGAAATCTGACTGCGGTGATGTTGAAACCTCGACCAAGACTAAGACCTAGTTCTGAGTCCCCAGTCTTGAATTTCTTCTACATATGGAGACTGCTGTCTCGAGTTCACAGTGTAAATACAACGGTCTGTGTGTTTTGTGCGAGAAGGTCCACGGGATTGTCTTCTGTGTGGGAAGTGTATCAAATGGGTTCTAACTGACAGCGAATCAAAACAGACTCACCTCAAACCAGCTGGAATAGCTGGGGGCATCAATGGGGCCGGCCACGGCACTTTGTCGAGCCAGCAGAAAGGCAGTTGACAGCTTGTCAGCATCAGAACTGTCAAGGCCTTCGGACAGTTTCCGCTTGATGTGCCCTGTAAATAGTTTTATAAATAAAAGTGGAGCTTTATTAAAATCCTACCCCAAACATGTGAAATCCACAGGTCACGGGACAGTCTAATATTTCAGGGGGTGATAGATAGGCTGCATGCAGTCATGGGACCAGGATGCATGCATTCGTGGGACCTAGGCCGCACTCTTTCGTGGAAAGTAGGTGGGTTGGGGTAAGGCCCAGTTCTAGATGTTTTGGGGTCGTTAAAAGCATCAGAAAATGTTGGACTGTCCTGTGACGTAATTTGGGGTAGGATGTTAATAGAGAACCATAAAAGCAAAACCAGATCTTCTTCTGCTTCTTCACTTCTTCTTTTACCACTTCAGATGTCAAGGAGATATAAGTTTCTGCTTCTAGCTTTTCTGACTCCTTCAACCATAGACACACCATGCTGTGTTGTAGAGTCTCTCTGATGTTATCTTTCCATCTTTGTTCTTCTTATATGTTCTTTTTATATGTCTCTTTGTTATCTTTCCATCTTTGTTCTTCTTATATGTCTCTTTTTTATCTTTCCATCTTTGTTCTTCTTATATGTCTCTTTGTTATCTTTCCATCTTTGTTCTTCTTATATGTCTCTTTGTTATCTTTCCATCTTTGTTCTTCTTATATGTCTCTTTGTTATCTTTCCATCTTTGTTCTTCATATAATTCTCTTTCTCTTGTAGTGTATGTCTTGCATGGTATGGCATCACATGGCATTCTCTCCAAGACGGCAAACCATTTGATTTGCTGTCTTTGTATGTAACTTATAATTGGTTCTTCCCCTGTGGGATCCAGGGACCTATTACAGGGAAAACAAGAATAGATCCACTGCCTACCCAAAAACATGTTGTAAGAGTCGACTAAGTAGGAGCTTCCTTTGAAGTCGGAGTGCATCTGCTTGAGAGGCAAGGAACCAACAGCCTGCACACAAATGAGTCATATCTGTCAAAAGGATGCACATGCAACACTCAAGTTCTGGGACAGGACTGCAGTCCAGAAGTGGACGAATAACCTGAACTTTCTGCTAGAGTTTACAGCCAGTGAAGGTGAAGAAGAAGAAGAACGGGTTCTGCCAATATTTTCTCTTACTACCTCATTCCTCATGTTATTTCTTCTGGTCACTCCTGCAGCCCTGTCTCAGATATCTCATTTTATCATCATCATCATCCTTCACACAGGGCTTGCATATTATTACTTTCTCAATTTCTAACATCTCTCTTGGGCGTCCTTTCTTTCTCAGACTGTTTGTTTCACATTTCAGGGCTTGTTTCGAGAGGGCTGTGTGGTCTCAAGGCATGGTGTCCGCCTCGAGTGCTGGAGGTTCCGGGTTCAATCCCCTGTAAGGGCTGGGATTTTTTCACGTGGATTTGGACTTCTAGTAATTGCCCTTGGTCTCTGAATAGTGAGATCGGATGCTTGTGTGCATTGCTGCGCACGTAAAAAAAATCCTTTGGCAGTTGGAAATTGAATAGAGTAGCTTAACGGCGCTGCCCGGATAAAATTTGGAGTTAAAAATCTACCCAAAGTTTTTCAGGATCCTCACTGGTGCTACAGAGCCTGTGCTGAGCTTCTTCGGACTCAGACTTGAGTTAGAAGTAGAATGGAGCACTTATGGGGTACTACCTGTGTGCCATGATGTTTATCCGATGTTCAAAACACTCAAACCCCACAAGGGCTTGTTTCATATTTCTTTGCTCATTTTTATCTCCATCTTCTTTGTCTTATTGCAATTGATACAGGTACTTGTCCAGACAATTCTCTGATCTCCCCACTCTTTTTAAACTCATACAATTTTATGTTCATCACAAAATTCTTGATAGAAAAACCATGAGTGACCTTAACTAGTTGAGTTGAGTTAAGAATTGACATCACAGCACTCAAGGCATTCCAATGCGTGCTCCCTCCTCATCTTCAGCAGCCAGTGCAGAGTTCTAATACTGATGGTACCAGTCACAATCTGGTTATAGATTGAGGTTAACTTAAGCTTCTGAAAACAAATATATAGAGATTATATGAGACATTGAGCCATGAATACCGAGGTCCATCAGCCAGTTATATGAGACATTGAGCCATGAATACAGAGGTCCATCAGCCAGTTTTTGAGACATTGAGCCATGAATACCGACGTCCATCAGCCAGTTATATGAGACATTGAGCCATGAATACCGAGGTCCATCAGCCAGTTATATGAGACATTGAGCCATGAATACCGAGGTCCATCAGTCAGTTATATGAGACATTGAGCCATGAATACCAAGGTCCATCAGCCAGTTATATGAGACATTGAGCCATGAATATCAAGGTCCATTAGTCAGGCATATGAGACGCTGAGCCATAAATACCAAGGTCCATCAGTCAGGCATATGAGACGCTGAGCCATGAATACCAAGGTCCATCAGTCAGGCATATGAGACGCTGAGCCATGAATACCGAGGTCCATCAGTCAGGCATATGAGACGCTGAGCCATGAATACAGAGGTCCACCAGCCAGTTATATGAGACATTGAGCCATGAATACCGAGGTCCATCATCCAGTTATATGAGACACTGAGCCATGAATACCGAGGTCCATCAGTCAGGTATATGAGACGCTGAGCCATGAATACCGAGGTCCATCAGTCAGGCATATAAGACGCTGAGCCATGAATACCGAGGTCCATCAGTCAGGCATATGAGATGCTGAGCCATGAATACCGAGGTCCATCAGTCAGGCATATGAGACGCTGAGCCATGAATACCGAGGTCCATCAGTCAGGCATATGAGATGCTGAGCCATGAATACCGAGGTCCATCAGTCAGGCATATGAGACGCTGAGCCATGAATATCAAGGTCCATCAGTCAGGCATATGAGATGCTGAGCCATGAATACCAAAGTCCATAAGCCAGTTATATGAGACAATGAGCCAGAAATACTGAGGTCCATCAGCCAGTTATATGAGACATTGAGCCATGAATACAGAGGTCCATCAGCCAGTTATACGATACATTGAGCCATGAATACCGTGGTCCATCAGCCAGTTATATGAGACGCTGAGCCATGAATACCGAGGTCCATCAGCCAGTTATATGAGACATTGAGCCATGAATACCAAGGTCCATCAGCCAGTTATATGAGACATTGAGCCATGAATACCGAGGTCCATCAGCCAGTTATATGAGACATTGAGCCATGAATACCAAGGTCCATCAGCCAGTTTTATGAGACATTGAGCCATGAATACCGAGGTCCATCAGTCAGGCATATGAGACGCTGAGCCATGAATATTGAGGTCCATCACTCAGGCATATGAGGATGATGATATTTGAAACAGATAACATAAAAAACCCATACCATGCATGAGTCTTGCAGCTTCGGGGAAGGTAGAGTACAACGCTGACAGGAAGGTCATCGTCACCGCACCACTGACATTCAACTGATCAAATGACCGCAGGAGTACAGCGGTCACCTGCTCACAACTCAGAGGCACAAAGAGCTGAAGAAACAGTCATAGAAAAAGCCGTCAATATTTCCAAGTATTTCAAACAAAATAAGACTATAGATTCTTTTTTCTTCTGCATGTCCTTAAAAGATTGGGTGGCATGTTGTGGAGTAATTTATAGCTATGCTGCAATATCTGCACATTTCTTCTTCTTTTTTGTTCCCCATCTGTAAGCTCTGACAGAAAACCCTGGTTTTTTTGTCCATTTGGACTCTGGTTTTGTACCAGCGTCTGAGTTTTGTGTGTACATCCCTTTTGCTGTCCTATCTGTGTGCAGTTGGTTGTTCCTTGCCACTTGGGCAGATGCACGCCAACTTCGAAGGAAGTTTTCAACTCCTACAACATTTTTGTTGGTCTATTCTTGTCCCCCTCCCCACCCCACAATAGGGCCCCAGAACCCACATGCGGACTCTTCACGTTTGATTTCAGAAAAGCCCTGATCAAGAGCCTTTCCAGACATGCTTATCAGGGGACATTGGCATCTGTAGCTTAGGCGTTGCGAACGCTCATCAGAATGCCAGGGTAGTGGGTTTGATCCCAGCTACAGCTGACCATCTTGCATTGGTTTCTACAGTGGTATAAAAAGTCAACAATTCGGAAAGTAATGGCAAACTACTGAAAGTAAATGTGCCTAGGAAAACCACAACAGCCAAAAAATGCTGGGTTCGGTTCTGGAACGTCCTGCAAACGATACGCAACTACCTTTTTCCTTTTTTTTTTCTTTTATTGGGGCAATAAGTCTTTTCCTTTTGCCCCCAAAATGTGGTTATGACACACAGGTAGGAACCGGTAATTTCATCATCATTATAAGCAAACAATAATAAACAACCATCAACCAAGCTGCCAACTGGTATGGGTGGTCATATTTCTCAACATCTTACATTTCTCTACAGAACTTTCTACTTCTACTACTTTCAAGTTTACACAATATTTGATCTATTCAATATCAGCATCTTTTCTTCACCTCTTGATTCACTCAGATTTGTTTAGCTGAATTTCACACTGGTGATTCTGTCAGGAGGAAGAGGAAGGCCAAAGAGAAGATGGGTGCAGGATGTGAAGGGGGGGATCTCCAGATGGGTGTATCAAGACGCGGGACATCTTGCTTGTGATTGAGAAGTTTTCCTGAGGGTTTTTATGGGTGCAAGGATCTGCAAAGGACATGCTACTGATAAGATTCTGTCATATTTTTCTTCACCTAGTCAGTTATTCCCACCTCTACACATTTCTGTGAACAGCATTTTTTATTTATTTTTTCCTGATTCCAGTTGGAGACTCTAAGAGTTTGTAATGTGTTTGAATCCACCCCAATTTAAGGCATAGATATCTGTTTCATGACACAATTAAGTTTTGTCAAAGTTGGAAGTGTCGGCCCTGAGCTTCAGCAGCCAGCCTGGAGGCCTAGGATGTGTCTTCTTGTCTGTTCTCTACCTTGCAGGCCTTTGTGGTTGTTCTGTAAGGTGGAGACAGTTTCAGAGAAAAGTATGTACAAAATTTGAGCTTGACAGCTTCTCAGAAAATAGTTTTAAAATCGACAGCAAAGTTTTCACCAGACAAACACCATGAGTGACCTTAATAAAAGCTTATATAAACAGACTAGTGCTAAAGTGAGAAACTGAACCATGAACACCAATGGCATATGATGAAGATGATCCTTCACTAGCCTACACCAGGCATGTCAGTACAAGGCTGACAGGAAGATTGTGATGAGCATGAGCATGGTGGCTCAGAATCACAGCAAGCTGACCAGACAACCCGTGCAAGAGACGACGGCACACAATACTTGGGGCTGGAGAGATGAACAAGGAAAAGCCTAAAGCTGGCTCTTAGTCTGTTGGGTACCAGAGTTCGAGGAAGACGGTTGTGATGTAGTTTAACTCTTTGAGTCCCAGGGGGTTTAGTATCACAGGCCCAGGGGGTAGTAAAGAAAGTAATAAAATCAGCGCATCATGCGTTCATGGGGCTTCTAAGTAGCAACCTATGAACGTATGATGCATTCCTTGGTACTCAAAGAGTTAACTAAAATGTTTCAAGCGTCATGTGAATGATTACTGTAGGCTTATTGTGGAAGCAAGCAGTGATGACTATGACTGAATAAGCTGTGACTGAGAAGTGTGAGCATCGGGATAAATAAAGTGGCAGAATTTATATCAGAACCTGAATGAACGAATGAACAAATGTTTTTTTTTTTCAAAGGGCCACAAACTGGGCACACAGGCCCGTCTTACATTTGGTCCTTCCAAACACATGTCTTTCACACTGGAGCTGTATTTTATCAATAAGCTTGTTATATTGACATGATAATTTGCATATTATAAATATCCACACAAAAACACAATAAAATGAAACAAAATAGGTGGTAAAATGCATGCACACACTAGCACACACACACACACACACATGCCCACCCACTCACTTAAACATGCTTATTTACACACCCACATACCTTCACACACACACACACCCCTCCATTCACCCACATACATACCCACCTACCAACACAAACACACACATACATACATGAGCACCTGAGCGTCGTTCTGCGCCATTAATTCTAGACAGTTGTGTTTGCTCCCAAAAAAAAAAAAAACAAAAAAGAGATATTTACAACATTTGTGATATACGGGGTCTCCAAGTATAAGTGGTCAAGCCAACTGTTGTAAAAGTCATGGGTTCGTTTCCCAAGGCGTGTTGCTCTGTTGAGGCCAGTTTTTAACGGAGATCCCTAGGGATCACTGCTGGAGCAGCTTTGTGCGAGGCTCTTCTGGGTTCTGAGGAGATAGACAAAGCTATAAGGCATAACCCAGTACAATGAAGTCAAGCCTCTCCATTTTAACTTTAACTGGTAGTGATTCTGTCAGCCGCTGTGGTGTAGCAGCAAAAATTGTACCAGAGAAAAAAAAAAAAAAAACTTAAGAAAAGCTTATCATACCTGTCGAAACAGTTCTCTAGTAGTTCCAGAAACTTCCACCAATTTCCAATCAGAACAAGACTCTAATACATCTGAAACTAATTAGACAAATATCTGTAAATGCATTTACAAAGAAACAAATAACAAAATTATATCAACATTTATACGCACACAACTAAATTAATTTCAACGGACTACACATCAAATGGTCTTTCTCAACACAATCTTTGTTTAATTGCTGGAGGTTCATGACAGTCATGTGACCTACCAGTGTAACTTCAAATTTATAATGAACTCTTTCTGTTGACACAAAGGGGGATTGTTCATTTTTATTATTAAAGCTTTGGCTAGTCTCAGCATTCGCCTGTTTGGTGTGTGAAAATAACATGGAAGGCCCTGTCCTTGTCAATTACATGTCCAAAATTAAGCAGATGATGTATTTTTTTTTTTTTTTTTTTTTTTTTTAATTGAACACCGGCTGTGAATTCCAGTGGAAGGTCCCGGTTAATCGTCCACTTGGACTTTTGGCTTTCACCTGGACCTGATTTTTGCGTGTACAACCGTTTTTCAGTTCCCTGCCACATGGGCAGCTGTACGCCGACTTCGAGGGAAGACGTCAGGCCTATTTCTAGGTTGACTGTGGCCATTGTTTTTTGTGGGTCGAGACGTTGCCTGATTTGTGTGGTGTCCACACCGCAGGTGTTGCCCCCGGAGTACCCCTTTGGGTCAGCCCCCTGTGGAACAGTTAGCCCTCAAGGGAAGGCAGGGGCAGATCATGGGCATTCCCCGCCATCCAAGGAGGCATCCATGTATGCAGAGCCGGCACATCATGCTCTGGTTCTGGGCTCACCCAAGGAATCGTCACGTCCTGCACATGCCTGCTTAACCTCACAACCGTATCAGGCCTCCCGCTCGGCAGGGGCTGCGCCCTCTGGAAGTCAGCGGGGAGCAGCCCGTGGGTTTTGGACTTTTGTGACCACACAGATAGGTACATTCTTTTTTCATCGCACGTTAGATTTCTTTGACGAGCCGTTAGCCCGACAGAATTTTATATCCTGCATCAGGCATATCGTTATCAGTTTTGTCCCAACACTCGGGCGAGTGGGGTCTTTGGGTGTGGACATTCGGTCTTTTTCAGTTCAATAACAAATTTTGATGGTCAGATTTTGATCCGTATGATCTAGTTTTGTCGGACATTTAGGCTTAGTCATCCGATGGATGGTTGCTGTTGTGGTGAACCTCAGCGCGGTGACGACGACACTGAGGATTAGCCGAGGATGTACAAGGATGGTCCGCCTATGGATGGTTGCTGTTGTGGTACACCTCAGCGCGGTGTCGACGACACTGAGGGTTAACAGTCTCCGCAGTCTTTTAACCAAGGGTTGTAATTTTGACTGTACGTTTGGCAAACCTACTCATGTTCCTAATGAGTTTTGTTAACATTTTTCACCCAAGCGTTTGGGGGCGGGCTGATGAGGGCCACAAGGACACATCACTGGGGGCCGCCGAACTCCGAGATCCCCTGACAGCTCTGTTAATGCTCATTTGAGACATTATCCGTGGCGCACGACGAGGACGTGCTGTAGGGGTCTTGCGTGAGGTTCCGTACAACCAGGATAGTAAAGGACTGGCGCCCGAGTGACGTACGGAGTATCTCCTTATACACGTCGAGTTGGGCTTAACTTCCCCCCACGCCTGTAGATGATGTATTTAAAGAAGCTGGATTCTTTCCAAAATTATAATCGAATTCTGATCAGTTAAAAAAATACCATGTAAGTGTCAATTTTACCCAAATGGGCCTCAGACCGCTGAACTTATTTTAAGGGTCTAATCGACACTCAATGGCTGAAGTGGAGAAAATTACAGTGGTCATTTTTCCTTCACTAAACATTTCCTGGTGCCCATTTAAGGCTAAGTCAACCAAAAAGCCTATATAATTTTAGTAAAAAGTTGCCCCAGTGCAGATTCAAACCCAAAGGACTGTATAAAAACATCGAACACTGCTATACCAAGGTTGACCAACTACTAAGATATGACCATGAAAATAATCTAATTTTCTAATCATTCTCAAAATGCTTAAAAAAATGTAAAAGATGATGAAGATACACAAAGAAGAAGAACAAGATAGACAGAAAAAGGCTAGAAGAAGGGAAGAAGTGTGAAGTGATGAATGACATGTGTCGCACCACAGCCTTCACAAAGGCATCTGGCTATCTCATCTCTAATCACCATTGGCAGGGAGAACCAAAAAGAGGAGAAGAAGAAGAAGAAGAAGAGGAAGGAGGATGAGAAGAAGAAAAAGAAGGAGAAAGGAGGAGAAGAAGAAGAAGGTGAAAGGAGGAGGAAGAGGAGGAGGAGCAGGAAGAGGAGGAGAGAAGGAGAAAAAAAAGAAGAAGCAGCAGCAGGAGAAGAAGGGAAAAATGATTGAGAGTGCCGAATGTGAACAATGATGGCTCACCATCACTATCCGCCTTGCAGGACAGGATGTACGACAGAGCATGCACACAGAACCTTTTCAGGGTGTCCTTTGGTAAAGTTTCCTGATAGTTTACAAAATCGGTTGGTAAAGCCAGGACTGTGATCTCATCTGCTGCCAGTTTCAGGTCAAGGGCGCCTGAAAAATAAAATAAACAAGTGTAAGTTATAAATGCACTTCTCACTGCCGCAGGTTGTTGTTGTTGTTGTTATTATCGATCCAGCGGGGCATGAGCTTTCGCCCTTTGGCCCAATGCAATGTAGTGGAATTTGCATGTGTTCACAAGCTGTTCATTTTCTCCTTACAAGGTGTTCCTCTTGTCTGGTCTCGGAGGGAGTAGCATTCTTCTAGTCTCGCTAAGTTTTGGGCACTCAAATAGATGGTGTTCAACAGTTTCATAGGGGTAGTTACATAGCTGGCACTCTGGGGAGTGTTGTGGCTGTATTCTGTTTAGATGTCCACTGAGTGAAGTATGTTGTGTTTTAAGTCTGAAGATGGTGGCCTGGTCCCTTCTTGTTAGATGGTTAATGTTGTCATTAGGATCAGGGCCAGCCATATGTCTATAAAACAAGGAGAGAGAGTCACCAACAAAAGAACTAAGCACAGTACCGATAAATAATTTCAAAGAATATCAAAGAATCAAACAGTTTGGTGGTCATTCTCCAGAGAATGAGAATGACCAAAAAGGATGCACACAAGCTGTCCACCTTCCACCACACATGACTACGTAGAATTACCAAAATTTTCTGGCCAGATACAATCTCAAACACTAAACTACTTCAAGCCACAAACCAAGAAACTTTAGACAGTATGATTACCAAGAGAAGATGGAAATGGCTTGGCCACGTTATGAGAATGACTTCTGATATACCTGCCAAAACAGCTCTCACATGGACACCAGAGGGAAAGAGAAAACAGGGGCGCCCAAAAACAACATGGAGACGAACGATGGAAAGTAAAATGAGTGCGGCATCTCTGACATGGAAAACTGAACTGAAGATTGCACAGGACAGGAAAGCACGGAAAGTCCTCTCTGAAGCCTCATGTGCCACTAGGCATAACGAGAAATGATGATGATGAAACAGTCTGGTCATCCGGTCAGAATGTAACAAAATCAGCCAGCCGCTAGAGCGTACTACATGAAAACAGAGGGAAATCCCATGCTCTGATTGTGGACAGATAGGTCCCAACAACAACAAACAGATGTATCATAACTCACCTACAAGAATGTTATTTAACAGATGTATCATAACTCACCTACAAGAATGTTATTTAACAGACGTATCATAACTCACCTACAAGAATGTTATCTAACAGATGTATCATAACACTTACAAGAATGTTATCTAACAGATGTATCATAACATCTACATGAAATGTTATCTAACAGACATATTATAACACCTACAAGAATGTTATTTAACAGATGTATCATAACTCACCTTCAAGAATGTTATTTAACAGACATATTATAACACACACAAGAATGTTATTTAACAGATGTATCATAACTCACCTACAAGAATGTTATCTAATACATGTATTATAACTTCATTCAATCATTCATTCATTATCCTATTGTTCCATTATATTTCCCATAGGGCTGGCAGTCCATTCCAATCAATCCTGTGTAATCACTTTGATATCATAGATGGAATCCAGTCCAGCATCTTTAGCTTTTCTAGGGGGGCGCGTTAGCGCAGTCAATAAGAGGCTCACTTTCAAATCCAGCTGCGACTCGCCGCAGCCAACGGTCGGTGTTCGAAACCGAGTGGCTCTGGGGATTCACCCAGCCTCTAGGAAATGGGTACCAGAGTTGACACTCTGGGGTAAATGGAGGAACGGCGCTGTAGCTACAGAGTTATGTGCGAACGGCGACGCAGGCAGACAATTCTTATCAGCTGTCCGTACTGGTGGCAGAGCATTTATGGTTTATAACCGTGTGCAATGATGCTGGTTCACATCTCCCGACTTTACCTTTACCTTTTTTAGCTTTTCTCATCAACCTTCGCCTTGGACTTCCTCATTTTCTCAATCCATCCATTTCCTATTTCAATGCATCTGATGATTCTCTGTTCCCTTCTTCTCAGTATGTTTAATTTGTAACCATCATACATTCCCTCTGTGTACCACACACATCTGTTTATATGATTGACATCCTCTCCTGCAAGTTTCAGTAGCAAATAATTTTTTTTTATTTTTTTTTTTTTAAATGGTGGGAGAGCTGGCCCCACAATCAACCCTCCTTCTTTCTCACCGAGGTTGAGACTGGCAATGGCAGCGATATAAACTTTCCTTACAAAAATATCTACTGCCAGATGTATCATAACTCACCTTCAAAAATGTTATCTAACAGACGTTTCATAACACCTACAAAAAAGTTATCTAACAGATGTAGAAAAACTTTCCTTACAAACATTTCTACTGACAGATGTATCCTAACTCACCTTATTGAATGTTATCTAACAGATGCATTATAACTCACCTAAAAGAATGTTATCAAACAGATGTATCATAAGGCCAACAAGAATGTTATGTAACAGATGTATCAAAACTTTTCTTAAAAACAGATCTACTGACAGATGTATTACAACTCACCTACAAGAATGTTATCTAACAGATATTTCAAAATTTTCCTTAAAAACATATCTACTGACAGATGTACACTTGTATCATAACTCACCTTTAAGAATGTTATCTAACAGATGTAGAAAACTCTGCAGATGTGGAAAAGAAAACACATATGTCAACTTGTTAAAAAAAAGTTCACTGTAAAATATGAATGGGAAAAAAAAACACGAATTTCAAGTCACATCTAGTCACAAAGAATTCCATCACTTTTCTATGATGCCTTCTTTTCTCTCAGACAAATGATAGAGAAATCAATTGAATCTAATGGAAACCTTTATTTAGCCTTCATTGACCAAGATAAGGCATTAGATAGAGCAGATGGAAACAAGCTATGGGTACTTTTAAAAGGTTATGGTGTGAACACATATCCAATAAATATATGTGTTGTTTTTCCATCACAAGAGATGAAGACCCCTTTTATCCAAAGTAGTAATGATCAATGATTATGAGTACGAAGGTGACTGATTAGTCCAATATGAGCCTGGAAAGTTCTTGAGTAGTGAGGACAACGGATGATTCTTTCTAGTCTGCCTCTGTTTCTCTGCCTGTGCAACCTCTGCCTCCGCTGCCTGGCTGGCCAATGCAGGATGCCTGAGGGACGTACGCCATCCAGAATGGTCTTGTGCAGCAGCCTCCCATTTTGCTGTGTTCATGCCAAAAGAATTGAGAGCAGTCTTGAGAGTCTCCTGATAGTGCTTTTTCTGACCTCCCTGGGACCTCTTCCCTTGCTGGAGCTCGCCATAAAATACTCTCTTTGGGAGGCGATATTCTGGCATGCGGGTTAGGTGGCCAGCCCAACGCAGCTGACAATTCTTTAGTGATGATAGCTGGATGAAAGTGACTTGTGCAAGGACTTGGATTTAAATCGGGAAGAGTTGCGCAATTCGTCGACCTCACACTCTCGCCCGTGTCCATCTTGATCCAATGGCAGGACAGTGTCGAGACGATTGGAAATGGACCTCGGTGCAGTGGATGACCAAGGCGTCTTAAGTGACCTGCTTTGCTCGAAGCTCTAAATATACGTACAAGCTTATATAACAACAGTGAATGTACTGTTACAATAAACGGAGAACACTCAGAACCATTCACCACAAAACCCAGTGTGTGGCAGGGCTGTGTCCTATCTCCACTACTATTCATCTAGATGGTGTGAGGGCCCTTTGCGAGCAAGTGAAAAGTGAGAAGGCATGCAAGATACATCATTCAGATCTGAGGAGAATGGCGCTGTGAGGAGCTACCGGAGAATCTGGCCGATGCTCAACACTTAAGGGAAGGGTGAGATGGATAAGACAGTTACTGATAATATCAGAATTGGAACTCTTTGCTTGCTGCTGAAGATAGGGACGGAGCGCCCCGAGTGCTATGATGTCAATTCTCAATTCAACATTCCCCTACTATTGATAACTTACACTGATAACATCTGTAAAGCAACCAAACTAACGAAAACTAAAATACCCCAAGGAGAAGAAGACCAAAGACAAAAAGTTTCATTAAAGAACTATTATTCGTGCCTGACCAAGCACTAACTGCTACTGCAGAAGTAGAACTCCAAGATCATTTAAATGATTCAAAGAAGCATGCAAAGAGCATAACATGAAAGTTAATTAATACCAACAAAACAGAGGTCATGACCATAAACAAAGTAGACAAAACAATAAATATCCAGTTTATAAAACACTCTCTGAAACAAACCAAGAACTTCAAATACTTAAGAAGCATATCACCATCATCATCAGCTGGCAAATCAGAAGATGAGATCAATGACCAATGTAACAGAGCAAAGCAACTCACTGAGCAAATTGCACCAATACTTAAAGAAAATTGTCGGTAAAAACCAAAAGAGCACTAAATGACACAGCATTGTTACCAATCCTGTGTTATCAATGTCGATGTGACTTCCGTTTTCAAAATGGCGGACAGCAGCTGTGTTTATTTTCGCTGGCTGTTAATTCTCTCAGATTATTCTGTTTCATAAACATGGACTGTTATTTTATGCGCATTTCCAACGCAGCATACCATGTGTTTTTCGTGGGAACAGCGTGTATTGTGGTTGTGCTGTGTCGGGGCGGGATAATGACCGATAGTTTTGGCAGCCTCGGCCACGCTGCCTGCGCAATGTTTTGATCGCGGCGGTCCACTCGGGAAGACAGAATCTCGTCAGCATCAGCAGGGGGACTGCAACTGTCTAGAGAGCAAACTCGATAAAAGCTGTCCCCAGAAACGGAATGTGTCAACCATATATTTGGTGGGGAGAAATCAACACATACGGTTAACTCAATGGCCATGGCCGGCCAATGTCGCTGTAAATTGGGGGGGACTAATGTCATTAGTTTAGGCACTTGCTGTAGGAGATCTCTGTGGCAAGGTGTTAAAGTCTTTTGATAAGGCAGAAGAAATGGAGAGAGAAGGAAGTGGAATGAGAGGTGCAAGAAGTGATGGAGAAACAGAAGGTAAAAGGTGACAGGAGCAAAAAATAATGGAGCCAACAAACAACATTATAAACCCCAAAACATGCAACATAAATTACCCGTTTCAAAGTGGACTTGCCATCACCAAAGGCCTTTTTGATGAAGTATCCAGTCAAGCCTTCACAGTAATAAAATAGAAAAAATATCCAGTCAAACCCTCACAGTAATAAAATAGAAAAATAACCAGTCAAACCTTCACAGTAATAAAATAGAAAAAAATATCCAGTCAAACCTTTACAGTAATAAAATAGAAAAAATATTCGGTCAAACCTTCACAGTAACAGCATAGAAAAATATCTGGTCAAACCTTCACAGTAACAGAATAGAAAAATATCTGGTCAAACCTTCACAGTTAACAGAATAGAAAAAATATCCAGTCAAACCTTCACAGTAATAGAATAGAAGAAAATATCCGGTCAAACCTTCACAGTAATAAAAAAGAAAAAATATTCAGTCAAACCTTCACAGTAATAGAATAGAAAAAATATTCGGTCAAACCTTCACAGTAACAGAATAGAAAAATATCCAGTTAAACCTTCACAGTAATAGAATAGAAAAACTCCAGTCAAACCTTCACAGTAATAAAATAGAAAGAAAAAAAATCTGCACTTAGAATTTCATAATTTAGTTCTTGTGATCACCCTTGTAAGTCTCCAGTGTAAGGAGAACAAGAATAGATACACTGCCTCCCCCCCCCCCCCCCCAAACAGGTATTTTTTTTAAGGTGACAAATTAGGGGTTTGCTAACATCTGATGTGCTGGACAATTCTGCTTCTTCTTCTGCCTAAAGTCCATGCTGTGTGGCTTTGGTAACCATGTCTCTCCACAACCTTCTGTCTCGTGTACTTTTAATCAACTCTGAGACGTCCTCATTGCTCTTTCTATCTGTTCTCATTATTCGTCTATAAAACCATGTCTCCGCAGCTTCCAAATGATGTTTGTTTTACTAATCTACCAACTGTCCATGATTCACTTCAGTATATCAAGATATGATTAATATAGCTTTTAAGAATTCTTTCTCATCTCAATTGACAAAGAAAGATTATATCAACTATTCTTAACTTTGCTAAGAAATATTATTTCTTCCTTTTGGATTTAACTTTACTTATAAATAATTAGAAATGTTATTCCTTACGCATTTACTTTTGTTTGGAAAACTTATTTTATTCCATTATAATTTTAAGAAAATTAGAAATGTTATTTTCTTTCTTTGAATGAATGACTGAATCAATCAAAGAAGAACTGACATCACTACACTCAGGACATTCCCACATGTGCTCAATCCCCTTCTTCAGTAGTCAATAAAGAGTCAACATGCTAATAGTACCAGTTGCAACCTGATTAAAAGTCTGCCTTTGTTTCCCCCTCAAATTTTAATATCTTCCAGAATCTCTACACACCCCATGTTGAATTAGTCTTTCGCTGTATGGATTCTCTATCAGTTCTACTGCATTGTCGATTTGATCCCATACAGCCTTCACCACATCTGCTTTATGAAAAAAGTAGCTCACCACCCAGAGGAGCAGCAGCAGCGAATCTATCATTCTGCCGGTTAACTCGCACACCTGAATATGATGGACAGAAAAGCCCTATCCTCCTGATCTTGGTCTTATCAAGTAATGCAAGCCACTCGGTGCACAGGATGCTAGTTTCCATTTTCTGAAGCTCTGTGAGTTTGTTACAATCACAACATGTCCTAATGTGCTGCTCTCAAGCCATCGGAAAGCTCCTGTTACTGCCTTGACCTCCATTCTCATACTGCATATAGTGACGTTGTAGGCGGGGCTCTCTGTTTTCTGTGTCTACCCACCTTTGCAATATTTTATTTCTCTTACATTTAAGTATCTTTAGAACTATTATTTTATTTCTTTTATGTTTAATTTTGTTTACAAGTCATAATATTTATTTTACATTTAATTTTGTTAAGAAGTCATTTTCATTTTTTTTTTGGTGTTTAATTTTGTTTTGAAGTCAATTTATTTTCTTAGTGTTTAATTTTGTTTAGAAGTCTATTTATTTTTTGACTGTATAATTTTATTTAGAAGTCAATTTATTTTTTGACTGTTTAATTTTGTTTAGAAGTCAATTTATTTTTTGACTGTCTAATTTTGTTTAGGAGTTAATCAATTTTTTGACTGTTTAATTTTGTTTAGAAGTCACTTTATTTCTTTTATGTTTAATTTGTTTGTGTTTTTGCTTGCTTAATAAAACATTATTTTACAAGATAAGCAGCAACTTTACCTGTGAGTATTTTCTGTCGACTACTGAAACTGTCAAGTGAACCTCGGCAGCAAGCAATCAGTTCTCTGGAAAACATCTCTACGAATGATGAGTCTTCACTGAGCTTACTGAAACCAAAATATGCATTCAATAAATATTGAAGAATCCCAACAGGGGCTCCCCGTGTCGGTTCCAGGGCCCCATTTTGGGGAAAACAAGAATAGACCCACAGCCTACCCAACAAAACATGTTGTAGGAGTCGACTAAATGAGAGCTCCCTTCAAAGTCAAAGCATATCTGCAAGACCGGCAAGGAACAACCAACAGCACACACAAAAGCCAGGAAAATGGATGTACACGCAAAACTCTGGTACAAAGCCAAAGTCCAAATGGACGAAACAACCAGGACTTTCTGCCAGAGCTGATAGCCAGTAAACAAAGAAGAAGCAGAAGAAGAATATCTGTGGCTCTAACAATAACAGGAACAACCTGCTTTGTCTCTAATGGCCATGTCTACCACATTAAGGACAGTGCAGGACAGGACTGAATCTTCGGTCATTTACAAATCTCTGTAGGTTTCACCCCTTCACCAAACCAATAATGAATAATAGAATGTTGCGGCTCTTTGTTGCATGTCAAAAGGGGAGTGGCTATCTTTATTTTTTGTTCTTGTTTTTTCCTGCGTGTGTTGAATATCCAGGAGCCATGAGTTGTTAACCCTTTGGCTCGGTGCTATGGATATCGCAACCCTTCGGCATTGATTCCATGATGGATACAGTAAATCTGGAAAAAATGTGGCTTTTCAGCCCACCCCTGGGTGTAAACCTGAACCACAATGAGTTTGTCACGCGGTCGCCGCGCAGTCAGGTTTAACCAACTGAGCTAGCAAGCCGGGCGAGTGGCCATCTTTGAACTTCACACTTTTAAGATTTTCACTTGAAGCCCACCGTTTAACTATACTATTCTCATAATGTCTCTGTGTGTCCTTGTTCAGCATCAGCATCTTTTCCTCACCTCTTGATTCATGGTACTTTATTTACTACTCTCTATAAGCACTGAGACACACATAAAGTGTTATACCATGGGCTGTACAGGGGACAGAATGATGTCAAAACTCAACGAATGTTGTGTGCAGTAATTCTGTAATAATTTTCAAAATGCTTACAAAAAAATGTAAAAAAGATGATACAGTTTAGGCAGTAAATGGTTAGATGGCATTTTGGTGAGAACACTTATCTTCTAGCCTTACCATGAAAAATATGAATCCAGGCAGACTGCACCAAATAACTGCAGACTCCACAGCATCTCCAAAGGAAGACTTTCCTAAAACAACAACAAAAAAAAAAAAAAATTTTAAAGGCTTTAAAACTATCATAAAAGTTACAACTGCTTTTTTTTTTCCCCCAGTGAATAAGTTAATTTGCTGGTTCTACATAAAAGATAAACCTGATAACAGCAATCAGAAGATGTACTCAACATCAAGTGCCTTGCCAACTGGCGTGGGTGATCGTGTCTTTCCACAATATGTGATCTACAACTGAGTGTATCAGCCCGTGTGCTGACACCCCTCCATGCCGTGACAAAAGAATGTCAAGAATTTTCTCACGCTGTTTTTCTCTGTCTCTCTCTTTCCACAGATCTTTCCAGTGATCACAACATGTTACATTTTCTCTCTTCCCATAACATGACCAAAAACATGATCACTGTCTCTTTCTGATGTCTGTGATAAGTTGTTTTTCGAGCATTTGTCTCTTTCAAAACAACTGGGTTGCTCTTCTTAGCTGTCCAAGAAGCTGTTATAAGGATTCTTCTGTAAAAACCACATCTCCACAGCCTCAAGATATTGTTTATTAATTGTCCAGGCTTCACTTCACAGCCGTATGATAAAACTGGCTCTATATAGTAGACAATAACATGAATTCATTGCATAAAATGTTCTTCATTTTGTAAAATGCAGTTTTGGCCTGTCCTATTCTATTTTTTATCTCTGTGACATATCTTCCATCAGATGTTATCCATGTGCTAGATACATACATTTCTGTACTTGTCCTAGATTGTATCAAGATATATTAAAAAAGCAGCTCAAGCAAAGGCAAAAATTTTATAACATGAAGAATATTATATGTAATCTTTCTTTATCAAGTGAGACGAGAAAGACAATTTCCGAGGGCGACATACATCTTATACTGATACAGGGAAGTGCATCATGGACAACAGTTATGAGAATGAAGTAAATATTATTATGTTATTCCATCTAATTATATTCAACATAACCCACTGCTGGCTGTGTGGATTTTTATCATGGTATGGGCATCGCAGGTCGACCCAGCCTAAAATGGGCACCATACTGGCTGTCCTGGGGAAGTAAAGACGGTCGGGGTAATGCTGACCACAATACCCCCCTAGTGCCGATTGGTCTGTAAAAATATGGGTGCTCTTCCCATATGCCCATTGCACCTTAAGGCTTGAAAAGGGATCTTTACTTTTTTAGTTATCTACCTACATTCCACCAAAGCTGAGATATACTCTCCTGAACAGCGGCACCAATAAGTAAACACACTATAGTAAAGGGGTAGTGGATCCCTTCTTTTTCCATCCGAAATGGGGTCACAGAACCCGCACAGGGAGCTATTGTTAGATTTATTTTGAACTGTCATAGATAATAAAAAGGTGAAAGGTAAAGTCAGGAGATGTCAACCAGCGACATTGCACACGGTTATAAACCATAAGTGCTCTGCCACCAGTACAGGCAGCTGATAAGAAACTGTCCGTCTGTGTCGCCATTCGCGTTCACCAGCAGTAAACTCTGGCGGAAAGTTCTGGTTGTTGATCCATCTCTGGATTTTAGATTTATTCCAGAACCTGAGTGTTGCACCAGTTTCACAGTTCTGACTTATTTGTATGCAGACTGTTGGTTCCTTACCTCTCAGGCAGATGCATTCTGACTTGAAAAAAAAACCTCAGTTAGTCGACTCTTGTGACATGCTTGTTGGGGAGGCAGTGAGAGTGTTCTTGTTTTCTCCACAATGAGACCCTGGAACCCACACGGGGAGGACAAATAACCAACAAAGAATGGACATACTAATAGTATCAAATGCAACATGAGTTAAGTTGAGACAAGAATTGACATCACAGCACTCAGGGCATTGCCATGTATGCTCCGTCCTCATCTTCAGCAGCCAGCGCAGAGTTCCAATACGGATAGTACCGGTCACAATCTGGTTATATGTCCGTCTTGCCTTTCCTCTGGGTGTAGTGAGCCAGCCAGACCCTCTGGTAAAACCCAGGTGCCTCATTCTCTCTAGGCTCCTTTCTTCACAGGATGTGATCAATATAGTGCTCATCCAAATACCCATGTTGATTAACTAGAATCCCTAGGGGGGAAAAGGGGGGGGGGGGGGGAATTCCCCAAATGGGGCCCCTAAACCCACAAAGGAACACAGGGGAAACAAATTCATGAAAAGATATCAAGGAAACGAAGAGCAGAACCAGTCAACATCACGTTTCCACCAACACTCACGACAAGTGAGAATTATGGCTAAAGAGCTGTCATCAGCACATTCACAAATCTACAACATCACAAACACGATAGATCATCTGCTGCTGCTCCTCTGGGCAGTGAGCTACTATACGTTAAAGCGTATCTGGGAAAGGCTCTACAGGATAATATAGATCAACAACAACAGAATCAATACACTGAAAGACTAATTCAAAGGGGGAAAGGGGTTGTAGAGGTTCTGGAAGACATTCAACATTGACAGGGATACTTTTGCATTTACTGCGTACGCATATTTCTGGATTGTCCTAGGACTAACCGTTTGTCCACCAGTTTTTCAGTGACAGCAAGGGACATTGTATTTGATTTGCACTGGCACAGGAACAGAACAAGTATGGCGAAACCCGATTGCAAGGAAATTAAAACCTTGAATAAGACTAACACTAAAGGGGTACAGAGGTGAACTTTTAATCATGTTGCAACTATCTTTTCTCAAGGCTATGCCAGTGTGATAGGTAAAGAAGAGGCAGACAGATTGGCTAGATCTGCACCACTAGGTGATGAATTGATAAATGACAAGGCAGATGTGGTGAAGGCTCTTTGGGAACAAGCAATGGAATCAGTAGAGAAAACAGATTTTTATGGCCTAGAGAGAATGAGGCACCTGAGTGTAACCAGAGGGTCTGGCCGGCTCACTACACTGAGAGGAAAGGCAAGACAGACATATAACCAGATTTTGACCGGTACCATCAGTATTGGAACTCTGCGCTGGCTGCTGGAGATGAGGACAGAGCATACATGGGAATGCCCCAAGTGCTGTGATGTCAATTCTTGACTCAACTCAACTCATGTCGCAACTGATACTATTAGCATGTCAGTTCTTCGTTGGTTACTGAAGAAGGGCATGGAGTATGTATGGAAATGTCTCCAGAGCAGTGATATCAATTCTTGATTCATTCACTCCTTCATTCAAATAGGAACAAGAATACACACATCACTTAGCTGTCAGTTCACAGGGTAAACAAAACAATCATAATGATCAAGCGGCACTGACACAACCTACCCTGGTCATAAATGACTGGAATAAACTGCTGTCAAACAAAAAGTCCTCTGTCTTGGGTTTCAACAGCTCCAGCACAGCTTCAAACTTCTCCTGCGAATTACAGTGACATTTGATTCTACAGGGCTTTTGGAATGTCTTTGTCACTGAGAGTTAAAACAACATTCTAGTAGATACAATCAAAAGAATGCTTGTGTTCTTCTTCTTCTTCTTCTTCTTCTCTTCCACCTTGTATCCCAGCGAAGTGTCAAGGAAAGATATAACTTTTGTTGATGAGCTCTGTCAAGTGCACTATTAAGACTGATGTTCATTTCTGTAAGGCTGTTCTTAATGCCATCAATCTTTTCTATGTCTTCTGCTCGTTCTATACCCTTTGTAACATTTCTGTGTTGCTCGCTGTGGCAGATAGTACCAGGGCATTATTGTTAGGTGTCCAAACGACTTCATTTATTGTTTTTTTTTAATGACCTGTAAAACTGACTTTATTATGTTAGTGTTACATAATGACGACTCTAGGTCTTCATGCAGGAGGAGCCTCTTGTCTGCAGCTACTCTGAGAAATGACTTTGCTTGCAGAACTTTCAGCCCATCTGCAATAGGCAGCACCAGTATATATCGCATACATACTGCTACGATGTCTCTTGTACATTCTAGAATTACCCATTTGGCTTCATTATTTGTGTTACACAATAAATGTAAAGCTGCTGGGTGCTACATAATTTAAAGAATGCTTGTGTTACATAACCAATGGGTGGCAGATTCATGAAAAGAACTCAACAAAATGTATAAAAACATTTCGAAGACAGGTAACCATAATACAGTAAGGTTCCCAGACAATAAACCCAGGATATATCTTACCTTAAAACTGTCTGTTCCCCCCCCCCCCCACCTTTTCTAAAGGAAGGAAATGGTATTTAATGTTGAAAATGAATTATGATATGTTGCTTCCCATTTCCCATCAACATCACTGACTGATTAGGAAACATTGCTTTCCATTTCCCATCAACATCACTGACTGATTAGAAAACATTGCTCCCCATTTCCCATCAACATCACTGACTGATTAGGAAACACTGCTTCCCATCTCCCATCAACATCACTGACTGATTAGGAAACACTGCTTCCCATCTCCCATCAACATCACTGACTGATTAGGAAACACTGCTTTGCATTATATTTATCATCATTATCATCAAGTGCCTTGCCAGCAGGCGTAGGCATTCCTGCATCTCCACAGATCTCGGTCTTTGGTGTGCTGGATCAACTCCACTGATGATATTCCTCCATGCCACTGTCTTAAGCCAACCTGCCCTTTGCTATTCGATGCAGCCCATGCCATGTCCTGCACATAATTTTACCTAGGTTCTTTTTTTTTTTTTCGCTGTTGTCCTGTTACCGGACGAGGAAGCCAACCCCCAGTCCAACCCTACCCTTAATTGCCTCTTACGACATGTCTGGAAGAATGCAGTGTTACTATTCTTTGATTCCTATAAGGGTCCCAGTAACACAGGACGACACAACAAAGTACACACACTCACACATAAAACAATTTTACAGGTGAGGAAAAGCACATTTTATTTGAAAATTTAATATAAAAAATATAAAACGAAGCTGTCACCTATATATGTACAATATACAACACACAACGCAACATACACCCACATACACACACATATCAGACACATGTCTGCCTCTGCCTCTTCTACCAGTGATCTTTCCAGCCGTCAAGATATTTTCCAGTGCTCTTTTTCCCATCACATGACCAAAGAACTTTGTTTCCCCTTCTCATTGTTTTATATAATGTTCTACTTCCATTAGCCATTTCCAGGCAATCATTGTTAGTTTTCCTGGCAGTCCAAATTATTTGCAACATTCTTCTCAAGAACCACATCTCAGTTGCCTCCAAACTCTTCTTAATTTGATTAAATTTATAGTAAAATAAAGGAAGCTTCTCCCCACCCTTTAGCCATATTGGGTACATATATATATATATATATATATATAAATATATAAATATATATACCTCTATTTTATAGACCAATCAGAACTCAGTGGGTTATGCGGTGAACATCAAGCCAGGCACCTTTACTTCCCAGGACTGTACCTGGTTCCCACTCAAGGCTGGGTCATCCTGGAAGCCAAGATCCTTTCTGAAAAAAGCCTGGCTCCCTTAGGACTCAAGCCCACGACATTCCGATCCACAGGCAAGTGGCTAGCCACTACACCATTGCCATTCAGGACAATGCAAACCAATCCCTAGTTCTGTTGGCTTTTTGTGCTTCGACAGGTTAATTTTATGTTTAGTAACGTGCCAATGCCCCTGAAATGGCCAACGCTGTCAAAATCAGCACAAAGCGGTCTGCTGCCGAAAAACCCTGCCGCATCTAAACTGGGATTATGGAATTGAGAAAATGATTTGATGGTCTACCTGCCCCCCCCTCCCCCAAATAAATGTTAGAAATAATACGCGCACATGCACACACATGCGCTCACACAGACAAAAAGGATGAAAAACCTACCCTAACATCGGGAGTCAACAATGGGCCGTTACTCTGTGAGCAACTTTTGGACAGCTCAATAATCTGCTTAGCTAAAGTGGGTATCGGAAGAACATCTCCTCCGCCACATCGAGACTGTCTCTGATGCTCCTGGCATGTCACTGACAGAAAGTTGTTTACTGCTGGCGGCACAGATAAAAGTTAACAATTAGCTGTATAGCTTTCAAAATTTGATTTCACTAATATCAATTTCGGCATAAATGATATTCACAAATTTAAAAACTAAGATTAGTGGCTGCAAAGTGGTACTGGTGACGACAGCCTTAGTACTTTCCGGGGATATCAGCATCGTCCCCTTGTGGGATGCAATTTTGTTTTATTTTGAAGCTCCACCCTTGCTTTTGTCAAGGACCCTAAACATAGCCAGGCCATAAATATGGTCTAACGGGGTTTCCGGAACCTCTCCATGGGTAATCCTAATCCACAAAGAGGCACTTTGTGTCACCGGGTGTTTTTTGCTTGTGTGATGTCCTGGTGGGGTACAACTTACCTACCTACCTACCTACCTTACCGGGGACGCCTGTATGGAACTTTAATAAGACCGACCCATATATAAGGTATAAGGCTTCTCCCACATGCAGGACGGTGGGGACGAGAACGAATTATCATCATCATCACGTGCCCTGTCAACTGGCATACATTCATGCATCTCCACAGATCACGAACCCTGGTTGCCTGGAACAGCTCTCTTGATGTTATCCCTCCATGTCATTGTTTCAGCCCATCCAGCATCATCCCTCTTGGTCTGCCTCTACCCCTCTTTCTACTGATCTTTCCAGTTGTCACCATATTTTCAAAAGCCTCTCTTCTCATTATGTGGCCAAAGAACAGTGTTTGTCTCCTTCTTACTGTACGGGAACGAATGTAGATAATATGTGATCACAGACTGGCACCTTTCCGTCTTTCCAGATGATGGTGTTATACTGCACTATGAAAAGACATGGGACTCACAGCCCATGGCAATGGCAAATGACTAGCAAGACCTGCCCATCTTTCATCCTCTCGAAAGCACAAAGCCTGGGCAGTATTGTACGACCATATGTTGCCCATGCATCATGATCCCTCCCTCGACCTGCCTTGTTTACTTCAAAGGAAAGGTAACACCAGTATGTTTGGAACAAAGCAGACTCCAGTGGGGCTCCAGAATCCACACATGGATAAAGCTTACCTGAAATCTCCAGATCTGTCACCTGTGATCCATCACACTGAAGTTTGATCATCTTTGATAAGGAACAAGCCTGGAAATAAAAAAATGTTTTCCCATGAGAAATTCAATTAATATTGACACAAACAATACACTGCGCAATTTATGACAAGACATGTTTAAGAGTTCCTTGTCAGGTCAAATACTACAGCTACATAAACATATTTGACCATCATCTCTTTGAGCGTCCATAAAACTCAACAAGACTAGAAGAATGCTACTCCCTCCGAGACCAGACAAGTGGAACACCGTGCACAGAGGAAAAGAACAGCTGGTGAAAACATGTAAATTCTACTACATGGTAAAAGTAAAGGTCTCTTTGCCACACCTTTGCGTATAGGGCACATAGGACTAGACCTGTATTTTTGTAAACCAATCGGCACAAGATGGGTGATGTGGCCAGCATCACGCCAGCCACCTTTACTTCCTGGGACTGCACCCGGTAACCACTCAAGGCTGGGTCATTTTTTGAAAAAAAGTCTGGCTCCGCTACGACCTTCCAATCCACACGCGAGCGTTTAGCCGCTATGCCACGGCGACTTCCCTACTACATGGTACTGGGCAAAAGCTCATGTGCTGCTGGATCGATAACAACAACAACATAAACACATTACTATCCCCATAGCTGTCCTGTAGTGTCATTAAATGTCACACAGGGCTTTATTCCTCCATTCTGTTCTATTCTGTGCGAGCCTTTCGGTATATCACGGATGGAATTTGTTCCAGCACCTTTGACTTCTCTCAAGAATTTTGTTTTAGGGTTTCTTGTGCATATCCTTGCTTTCTCAATCCTTTCATTTTCCATTTCGGTAACTGCTTTGTACATCAAAATATAATGAAGCACAAACAAAATGAATCTTTTCCAATGAAACGTGTCATGGATAAGGCCTTTTTCACTGCTACCTGAATAAGTGAGTATAATGTGCTAGCCTTTGCTGCTTAAAATGTTTCTTTTCAGTTCACAGTTTACTGATTGCCACTATTTAGCATAGGTATGGGGAGCATTAACCCAGGATTCATCCAAATATACAGTATCACAGCCTTACCTCCATCGCTCACGGATCTGCCTCAGATATTTGCTTCGACTAGCAATCAAACGCGGCTTTTCACAAAAAATATTTCTTTCACCTACACTTTTCCTGAAAGTGAACCCGGTGGCTCTTACAATTTTCCACAGACTACTTTTCGAAATGACAAAACCCCATTATGATTTCAATGTTAATTTCGGTTTTCGGAGATTAACAAGTTGATCTGTTTCTAACATTTTTAAGATCTCACGCCCTATGACATCTACATCAAAGTAGTTAACTTTCCTTTTCCTTCCTTTCATGACATGAATGTACTCTGTGTCCTGTCTAATCCAGCGGTTAAATGATGCTCTATCCAGACCAAGCGCCATCTGTGCTCATTTCTCTGGGTCTTAAAAAAAATTAAAGATCCATTTTCATGCCTTTAGGCACATCGGGCATATGGAGAGAGCACCCAGATTTTTACAGACCAATCAGCACTAGGTGGGTAATGTGGTCAGCATTACGCTGGCCGTCTTTACTTTACCAGGACACACATACTGGTACCCATTTTAGGCTGGGTCGACCTGCGACGTTCCATACCATGATAAAAATTCACATAAGCAGCAGTGGGTTTCGATCGCAGGACATTGGAATTACAACGCCACTTCTCTGGATCATGAACATCACAATATAAATGTTCCATCTTGGATTCCCTGAGGAAATTCTGGTTCAGTAAAATGAAACCTTCTGCATAGTTATAAATTTGTATCTTAAATTCCATTTTGAAATGGATGTCTATGTCAGCTTTCATGAGCCAGCTATATGACACAATAACTTAACATGAATTTGTGGAAGTGCCTTTGATTAAACAACCTTGACTGGCGTCTTTTATTTTGGTTTCAGGTCACTAACAGTGCAAATTTGCGGGAGAAAATCATGAAATTACATAGGTTTTTTTTTTAACCCCCTGTTGAATCAGTCATAGTGTACATTACTGCCTGAAACCAATGAAAGTAAACCTTCCAAAAGTCTACCAAGACAGTTTGATGTCATAGTCATAGTGTACATTACTGCCTGAAAACAATGAAAGTAAACCTTCCAAAAGTCTAGCAAGACAGTTTCATGTTAAAAATACACATCGCAATGAAGAAAAAAACTACATATGATTTTCTTATTTAGTGAAAAAAAAAAATTTCCTTAACGTCACGGATATTCTATTCTTCTTCTGCCTTTCTATCCCCAAATGGAGCATAGGCCCTCAACCAACTCACGCCAAGTCGTTCTATCCTTTGCCATTGCATGGAGCTCTCCCCATGTCCTCCCCATCCCTCTAACTTCATTCTCCAGCTCTCTTCTCCATGTGTTTTTTGGCCTTCCTTTATTCCTATGCCCCTGTGGATCCCAATGCAAAGACTTTCTAGTTATGCTGTTCTCCTGTTTTCTCAGTGTGTGTCCTATCCAACGCCAGCGTCTTTTCCTCACCTCTTGGTCCACTGGAGCCTGTTTAGTTCTCTCCCAAAGTTCTACATTAGTTATTCTATCATACCATTTTATTCCCTCTATTCTGCGCAGGCACCAGTTAATGAATGTCTGTAATTTATTAGTAATTGCCTTAGTTGTTCTCCATGTTTCCGCCCCATACAATAGTACTGATTTGACATTAGAATTAAAAATTTTTAGTTTAATATTTCTTTTAATTTCTTTTGACCTCCACAAATTTCCTAGGGCTATCAAAGCCCCTCTTGCCTTTTGTATTCTTATTTTAATATCTCTATCAGTTCCACCATCTTTATCTACATTACTGCCTAAATAGGTGTACGACTGCACGTCTTGGAGTGGGGTGCCATTAAGAGAAACCACACTACTATTTGCCTGATTTATTCTCATTTTCTTTGTCTTTCCTTTATGGATTTTCAGACCAAGCTGCTGTGATCTCGAATCAAGTATATTTAATTTATCTTGCATCTGGTTCCGTGAATGGGACAGAAGAGCAATATCATCAGCAAAGTCCAGATCATCAAGCTGTTTTGTAGGGGGGATATTCTATGGCTGCACCCAAATAATCATTGCGATCTATAGGCAGTTTTTTGAGAAAATGGCTTGCATTTGTGTTTATCAATAGTCAAACGAGCTATAGTTGCAAGCCTGCAGAATCACTGACTTCTTAAAGACCATGTCGTGTGAGGTTGGTAGTCATGTCTATTCACAATTTTCTGTCTCGTGTACTTTTAATCAACTCTGACACAGATGATCCTCCATGTCGTGTAACATTGATAGTCATGTCTATCCACTACCTTCTGTCTTGTGTACTTTCAATCAACTCTGACACAGATGATCTTCCATGTCATGTTGCCTTGGTAGTCATGTCTATCCACAACTTTCTGTCTCGTCTACTTTCAATCAGCTCGGACACAGATGATCCTCCATGTAGTGTAACATTGATAGTCATGTCCATCCACAACTTTCTGTCTTGTGAACTTTCAATCAACTCTGACACAGATGATCCTCCATGCTATGAGGTTAACCGGTCCAGCATCTTTTCTCACGATCTACATCTGAATCTCTACCTCTAACTTTCCTGCTGTCATGATGTACTCCAGTTTTCTCCTTCTCATCATATGACCAAAGAATGCAGATTTCTGATGTGGGCAATCAGTTCTCTTTGGGAGTCATTTCTTTCAAGACATCCTCATTACTTGTTTATCTGTCCAGGTATTCTCATCATTCCTCAATTAAACCACATTTCTGCAGCTTCCAAATAACTTTTCTCTAATCTACCAACTGTTCGTGATTCACTTCTGTTTATCAAGACAGGATTTATACAGCTTTTAAGAATTCTCTTTCTCATCTCAATTGACAAACAAAGATTGCATAAAATATTCTTCATTTGGTAAAATGCTGCCTTTGCTTTATCTATTCTTCATTTAACTTCTTAAATACATCTTCCATCTGATGTTATCAGGGTACCCATGTACTTAAACATATCAGTTAGCTTCAAGTTTGTCCCATTTACTTTGATGTTGCATTTTGGAGAGTCAGTTTTTTCTGTAATCACCATTACTTCTGTTTTTCTGCTGTTCAAATTAAGACTCTTGTTTTCACTTTCTGTTACAATTATATGCATCTTTTCTTGCCGGCAGCATCACACAAAGTACAAACTCTGCAGCTCTGGCGACGATCCCCAGGACTCTCTGTGCAAAATGCACTAATAATGAACCAAACAAAGCTGCTGTGAAATGAACCCGCGGCTTTTAGAGTGTGAGACACACAGCTTGACCACTTTGCCATGGTCACCATGGAGATCCCCATGGCAGGCTGCGAAAGTTACCTCCTGCCGATGGTAATGGCAACATACCTCATCAAAGATAGCTTCATTGTCGACACTGGAGTCAATGATCTGCAAGGCAGCATCCACTAATTGGTCACGGTCTGCAGGGAATGACATTGCTGTTCTGAAGCGTGTCCACTTACATCAACTGGAGGCCTTAGATGGAAAAAGTGGCCGGTAGATAAAATTAATTATTTAAAATAGTAAGTAAGTATGCAGACTAAATAATCTTCTTTATTATAAACATAACATGCATTACTGATAACAGACATTGGTACTCTAAAAGATTAGAGCTTAGAAGGGCCGCCTGTCAGACGGGCCTGCGTGCCAAATTTGTAACCCTTTGAAAATAAAGTTTGTTTGTTCGTTCGCTGGTTCATTCTCCAGGGCACTACTTTTATTATTTTTTAACTCACCATTTTAAAAAGAAGTAAAAAAACAAAAAGGGTCCCAGTACTGGGTACCACTAGAAGAAAGGCCCTGATACTTTCCACGCTTTCATGAGTACTGGGCAAAAAGGGCTAGACCTATCTTTTATAGACCAATCAGCACTTGGCTGCCTTTACTTCCAATGACTTCATCTGGTTCCCACTTCAGGCTGGGTGGACCTAGGAGCCATGGTCATTTATGAAAAAAAGTGTGGTAACCCATGAACCCATGACCTTCTGATCCACAAGCAAGCGTCTAGTCCAGTGATTCCCAAACTGTGCTGCGGCGCCCCGGGGAGATGCGACCTTTTCACAGGGGTGCCGCGAAGTATTTGAAGTTACACAAGTTTTATTTGTTTTGATCTCTTACATACAAATAGTCAAACTATTTTAGGTTAGGGCGCCATGGAAAAATTATAATTGAAAAAAGGTGCCACGACTAAGAAAAGTTTAGGAAACACTTGTCTAGTTGCTACAAAATGGCGGTTAAACACTTAGTTATGTACCCTTCATAGGAAGTTGCAGAACCAACCTCTGCATTTCTGCCTGATATTGAGTACATTAAAAATTAGACTTAACTAATCTTCATTTGGTCAAATGTAGACAAAATCCTCCTAGGTAAAAAAGTAAAAAGTTAAAGCTGAAAGGATCAACTTCATTGTACCTGGTTTTAAACCATATATCTTAATGTCTCTTGCAGAAGGACTGGTTAGCCGTCTGCCAAGAGCGTCACACAAAGAATTGAGTTGAGCTGAGTCAAGAATTGACATCACAGCACTCAGGTCACACAAAGAACTAAGTCTGTAGCTCCGGCGACCCCCCCCCCCCCCCCCCCACAGATCCTCATCAGTCAAACATATACCAGATAAGCCTCAAATATAGGTGCAGATGTGTGGCCTAGAGGTTAGCGAATGCATTTCAAAATCTCATGATCTTCAAGTACCAGCCTTCTTTTTTTTTTCTTCTTCTGCATTCACCTTTAAAAGATAGTTGGCATGCTGTGCTGTGGTTTACAGCTAGGTTGCGATATCAGTGCCTTTCCTTTCAAAACATCTGAATTAGCTGTGCATACTATAAGCTGCTTGTTTGAGGATATAAGGTCTTAGCACCCCCCCCCCCCCTGTATTTTTTTAACACAGGGACTCCTAGTCCTAGCGTTTGGTTTTTGTGATAAAGGTTTATTTATTTTGTATATTCTCATAGTTTTCAGAGAATAATTTGTGTGTATGTGGGTTCCTGATTCCCATTTTGGGGGAAAAGTATAGTTCAGTATCAAAAACAGTATTTAAAAGTTAATTAATTTGCCAAAAATTAGAAAAATATCCTATACACTCTCAGAAGTAATAAGTAGCTGGCAGCATACAGAGCAGTAAGTAAGCTATAGACGGGGATGGTTGCTTTGTTTGGACTAGAAGAAGAACGGGGGGTGGGAGAGGAGAATGAAGTCAATGAAGAAAAATGAGGAGTTTTAGACTAAAAAAAAAGGAAGGTGCCGGTACTGAACTGCATATCATATCGCAGGGAAAAAAAGCCCTGGGAATGAATGGGTACTCGTATGTAGGAGGAACAAGTGAAGCAAAAATGAACTAGTTAAAGTTACTGGTTAGATTATTAGTTAACATTTCATGCTCGAAAGGACTCGATCATCACCAAGTCTGTAATAATAAGCTGGTTTTTGGTGAATAATAAGAGCTATATGTAAATAATAATATACTAATAAACGTTGTCAATCAGTCCTCAAGTTCTTTAGCAATAATTTATTTCGCCCTATGCAAAAGTAACTTACAGTAAGTAGGTAAAAGAGTAACTTACAGTAAGTAGGTAAAAGAGTAACTTACAGTAAGTAGGTAAAAGAGTAACTTACAGTAAGTAGGTAAAAGAGTAACTTACAGTAAGTAGGTAAAAGAGTAACTTACAGTAAGTAGGTAAAAGAGTAACTTACAGTAAGTAGGTAAAAGAGTAACTTACAGTAAGTAGGACCAAGACAAGACACTGACACCTCGTCAACTCAACCCTGCGCGTCAAGTAAAAAGTCGAAAAACTCTCCACTCTTGAACAACAACGGACCACTCCACTACTAGCTGAGATACAAGAGATCTTGTAGTTTTATTTTACTAGTGGTGTTACCCGTTCATGTATATGTTCTCACAGTATGATTATTCACATCTGCATAACTCGGTAAGAAAAAAAAAACTGAAGAATTCTAGTTTTAGCTCCAAAACCAGGGCTGCCAAGGGGATTTTTGTTGAAAAACCCAGCTTCGCTAAACAAATACCCAAGCAAATTCAAGCGAATACATGGACAAAGAAAAACAATAAAAACAATAAAAAACCCAGATTGTTAAAATGTACTAAATTTACATTTACGAAACGGAACATTTACCACTTTTATATACGGACTAGCTGTGCCCTGCCACGCGTTGCTGTGGCCCTGAATGGTGAAATGGAAAAGAAAGAAAGTAGCTCTTAACTAACAGTGTCTGTCATAACCCTCATCCCCTCCCCACCCCCCCCCCCCCCCCCCCCCAGTCATATCTCCCTCTCCGAAGGATTGAAAATCTTACCTGGCGAAAGTAGTAAAATAGAAATAGTGAAGAAATGAGAACTTGAAAATAATGTTTTGAGCTCTCTTAGCTAACAGTGTCTGGCATAACCCCCCCCCCCCCCCCCCCAATAATATTTACCAATCCGAAGAAATAACAAATCATCGCTTGGCGAAATGATTAAAATAGAAATAGTTAAGAAATGATAACTTTAAAATAATGTTTTAAGCTCTCTCAGTTAACAGTGTCTAGCATCGACACCCCCGCCCCCTCCCTCCCCCCACTAATCATATCATCCTCGCCGAAGGATGGGAAAGTCATCATCATAAGGCAAAATATTGTACTAAATTGAGCTGTGCATCCGTGTCCACCCAGAGACAAATGGATAGCATTAATGTGTACTGAGAAGTAAATGGGGCCAGTGTAACAGCTACCACATCACCCATCCAGTACCAGTACTACTGCTACCACTACCACCACCACCTACAGAACAAAAACAAAAAACAGTCACCACTGTCTGTGCAGGTCGGTGTAGCCAGAGGAGGAAGCGCCGCATGTTGTCGCCAACAAAGAAAAAAAAACTCCATCTTTTAACCAGTGATGAAACCCACAGTAATAGTCCGTTCTATACTCACAAATAGCGGAAATTAAAAAAAACCACCCGTCATCTCCCCTCTCCGAAGGGACGAATGGTAAATGACCTTGGCATTTGGGTCCACCCAAAGTAAACTGGACTGTAAGCAGTCTTAGTTAACAGCTTCTGTCATCAACGAATAGTTTATGATCGAGTGAAGCGTCGCGGGGAGGATAAATGGGACTTTACTGAAATTGGATGTCTTTGGGCGAAAGGTGCAGATATCGCAGCCTAGCTGTAAACCACAACACAACGTGCCAACCGCCCTCTCAAGGGCGAAAGAAGATTACCCGTGACATCGCAGGCTAGCTGTAAACCCCCAAACCGAGCGGAAAAAAGACGTACATATTGTAGCCTAGCTGTAAACCACAACACAAGGTGCCAAACGCCCTCTAAAGGACGAACGAATATTACCCGTGACATGAACATTGAGCATCAAGTCACCGCCATCGTTTGCAGCCTAGCTATAAACCACAACAAAACGTGGCAGCCACCCAGTTAGCACCCCCCCCCCCTCCCCCCCAAAAAAATTATACTACTCAGCGGGGAATCGAACCCCTATCACCCGAGTAAAATGGAAAATGCTTACAACTAACTACGCTACTAAACACACCACATTTAGTAGAAATAAAAGTATATAGTAATAATGTGAAGTTCGGCGTTACACAGTCAAAGGTGGCCAATTGATTAGAAATAAATCCAGGCGGGCAACGAAACAAATAATGTTTTGACCGTTGCTGGAGCTACGTCGTTCGTGATTTGTGCGATTTTTTTACAAAAAATTACGCTTTGAGTCAGAGGCAACGTTGTGTGCAAATTTGAAAGCAATCGGCTCAGTAGTTTCCGAGTTTAGAGCTAACGGCATCGGAAAATTAAGATTTTTAATAATATAGATTTTTTTTTAAAAACCCAGATTTCCCCAAGGCGTCAAATAAAAACCCAGATCTGGGGGGGGGGGGGGGGGGCAGCATTAGGAGCCCTGTCCAAAACTTCGCTTACATTCATAGATACCGCCATATTGATCCTAGGTAACGAGGACTTTCAAAATTATGACGAGGCAACAACAAAACAAATCAAAATACGAAACAAATTGTGGTGCTTTCTTAGTATACTACCCCAAACAAGGGAAATTCACAGGTCACGAGGCAGGCTAATATTTTAGGGGGTGGAAGAACGGCTGCATGCAATCGTGGGACCTAGGTTGCTTGTAGAAGTGGGATCTAGGCTGCACTTTTACGTGGGACGGAGGTGGGTTGGGGTTAGGGCCTTTGTGGTTGTTAACAGCATCAGAAAGCCGGAAAACCCAGTCTCACCACCATGTAAAATGTTGGACTGTCCTGTGGCGTCATCTAGGGTAGGGCATTACGAAAGAACCAAAATTGTTTTCTATATCTTGTGTAGCAAGATCGGACGCCCGTGTGTGTTGTTGCGCACGTAAAAAATCGCTTGGAAGCTGGAAATAAAAAAGAGCAGCCTAACGGCGCTGGACTGGTAAAATGAAGAGTTTAAAAAT